CCTATTAGTCCCGAAATGATTTAGGCCTAGTTTAATGGTTTGTGTCAAGTGGTCGAGACGAGTGGACTTTAAAGGAGCTAAATCAAGTAAATCGCTAATGTTTGGGACCTAGAAATTGACCCAAATGGGTCGCAACAAATAATAATGTAATCTGATTGTATATAAATAAACTGATTTACATTCAATTGTTTCCGTTTTGACTCTAATTTCAAATCAGTTATCTCCAGCGAAATATGGCATGAGTCTCAACCGAATCGCTATTTCTAGTATCTGGTTATTTCAGTCTATTGCGCATGCTCTCATGGCGTCACCGTTTGATATGAGTATTCAGTTGTGGAATATGTCTAGCCTCGGTCCTTTGTTACAAATGACAATCAAACGTACTATGGCACCGTACACGATTCGTGTACCAATGCAATGGTAAAATATTTATTTTATTTTAAATATTGGTTATCAGAAGCTTACCTTTTCCCGGTAAGATCACAACATCAATGTTGATTTGAATTGACAAATAATTCGTGTTTTCAACGAGTAAGACTTTGGTGGATGATATTGAATTAGACTTAGAGACTAAGTTAGTTTAGCTAATCTTAGTTAGACTTAATCCCCATCTGCCATCTGGCATCTCTCTGTCCCGAGTCCGAGTCTCTCTCTGTCTCTCTAACTATTAAAGCCCAGTCTTTGGATGGGTTTTATCCCCTGTTTAAGTATGATCTTTTATAAAATAAAGTAAGATACCGGTACCTCGTATTTTGGATTTTCTAAGTTTTAAGTATTAATATGGCGCTCTTTCCCGCCTTGTTGACCTTGGACCTTGTCCAAAAGAGCGCAGGAAAGTAGTTCGAGAGACAGCGTAACCCTAGTAACTCACAATGCGATTCTTGAAGACGATTTCCGTTCATGAAATGAAATGATTGGGGTTTAATGTCCTACTGTTCGGCCCCGACTGGGCTAATGAAGACGGGCATACGCCATACAGTGTGCTATGAAGGAAAATATTGCCCGGGCAGTGGAAATATGGCCTAGGCCTACTCTTATATCGAATTCCAACTGCCAAGGGATCTTTAACGTGCATGCCAATGTATACACGAACGACTAGACAACTGTTCTTGTCAGGCCTTCCGTCTTGCACCACTGACAATTAAGGGGAAACCATGTCGAATAAACCCGATGAAATTCTTGGCCAATGCAGGGAACGAAGATTCCCGTTCATGGAGAAATGAAATGGGATTTAACAATAACATCATATAGACCCAATGCAGCATGCAGTATGCTATTGGGGTGAGGGGGGGGCGGTTTTCGGCGGTACTGGGTACGGCGTACTCTTATTTCGATTCAAAACTGAAGGATTCCTCTACGTGTACGCGGGACCTCCTTTCTGTCCCATCTGGACGACTATATAGCTTTTCCTTGAGGCACTCCGCCCTGTCCTACTGACAAGGGTAAACTTTGCCTAAAAATCACGACGGATTCACACCGGGAGCAAACTCCAGACCCCCCTCCAGCCTAATAATAAGCAGTACGGTATTTGTGTTGCATATAATCTTTTAGTGTGACCTGTATATTCCAGTTCAATTACCGAATGCTATTAAAACAATTTATTAATTACTGCACTCCATAGTCTTTTACGCTATAGACTAATCTACACCCAGGTTCAACGCTACGGGTTCGATCCCCCGGTAACATACAGTGGCGAGGATCGACGGGCGGCAGGCTATATATTTTAGGACAAAGTTTTTTGAAAGATTTGTTCTAACTTGGAAGATTGTTCGGGTCGTCATAAGAAGGCAGTCTATACAAATTCTATCTTTTATTCCCATTTATCGGAGATCGAGAAAATAATGATTTATAAATAAGCTAATAGCGGATAGGTCTACTAACTATTACAGCCTTTGTTGGTTGCTAATAGTAGATAACAAAGGCCGCCCTTGTTAGTTGTTACTGTAGCGGCTAACAATTTACCCCCAGAGGCGCAGAGGCACCCTTAGCGCTGCTACGAGCATCTAAAAATGACTAACAACTTTCTACTATTAGCAGGCTAATAATAGGCGGATCGGGTGCGTTGGAACTGGTGCTGCGTTCGAACGATGTCGTGTTTACGATAATTTTAGGCCTGTTATTTTTTGCTAAGTAAACTTGATTGTCAAAATAGCTTTCGTGTTCGCAAGTGAATTTGTAATTACAGTGCCTACGACGTGGTTCGAACGCTGCATTACCCATTAGTCTAGAAATCTAGTCGTCAATTTGGTTATTTTATGTTACAAAGACAGGCATTTAAATGTGTGACGTCATACTGTCAGTAAGGGCCATACAAAGGCTAAGGATCCACTAGTTAGAACACCGAGAAATTATGAAAACAAATTTATAATGTTTTTATTCTAATATCTGATATAACCATTGTATCTGCCTATACGCCATTGAATTGCAGCCGACATATAAACAGTATAGCTTGGGTAGCTAACGGGTTATTATTTTTAAAGTGAGCTTATTAATTATGTGATATAATATTTATAGCAACCAGTAAACAGGAAGATGTTAGATAATATTTTACTAAATCTAATTTTATTTCAAGTATCCACGTGTATATTTTAATATTTCCATTAATGCGTTTGTCTAATCAATAATGTTTTAATGTTTCATAAAATTATAAATTAATAATTTTTCCTATCTTATGTTCATATCTTTATTTTGAAAGAAAATGTCTCCATTGTCCATGCAAGATGACTCTGCCCCATCCCCTAATTGGCGCCAAGCAATTACATTTTACATGGAATAACAATTACTATGGTTTATTTCACTGCGACGTTTCTACAAGATTTCACGGCGACGTTTCTACAAAATTTCACTGCGACGTTTCTACAAGATTTCACAAGTCGTTATCAAGCATATACACAAATAGATAAAAAAGAATGAATAAAATATGAATATATTTCCTCATTCGATTTTATCTATTGTATAAACGACTTATGAAATCTTTTTGAAACGGCGCAGTGAAATAAACCATAGTTATTGTTATTGCATAGAAATTATGTTATTTGATTATGTTCCAATTACCAAATGCAATTCAAAGAATATGTCATATTACTAGAAAATCAACATTCCAGCTAAATGCTACAGGGGTGTGTCCAGGAATATGAGCAGCGGGGGTCCAAGGATGAGACAACGTCACGTCTAGCGTAGGGTTTGGGGTATTACCCTCGAAATTTGATAAAACCATAACCTCTGAGACAATATTCTGCTCATATACAGTAGGTGCATGCATATGGGATTAGAGAGGAGCGAGGAGATATATATTTAGGCAGGAGTAAAAAATATAGGCCTGCACGTGCTCAAGCTATATACCTTTGACCGTTGAAGATTGTCCTACAAATCACTACTCAAGCAACTTACATAACAAATTTGGATAGATCCATCAAGTGATTTACATTCGCCCATTTAAGGTGCCCGTGTCCCATCAATATGATGAGCAGCTTCATTTCAACCAATCAGGAGGGGGAAGATGCGTGGACAAATTCTTTACCTAAACCACTCAATGGTACAACCAAAATTATATGAACTGTTGATTGGGCAGTGTTTGTCCGAATTGATGAAAAAAAGCTGGTGACTCCTTATATAGGGGTGGATCATGGCGTTTTCGACTTATTGTCATAAACCATGTCGTGCCCCTTTGCTGCCATATTTGACGCTCGTCCAGGTTTAATACGAGAACAATGTGTTAAAAACTATTTAGTCCACTTGATGAACCGAATGTTAAGTATGTTGTTCATCTTGGAAGAGAATATTTTGATTTTAAATAATATATTGTAATAAAATAACTTTTCTAGTGTTTTGTTGTATGCTTTATTGCCTCCTAAATGGTTTTCTCAAGGAAATGAAATGCCTCATTTGTAGTATACATTTATATTCTTAGCTTCACTGTATGCATACTTGTTGAATAATCGAATAAATCAATTAAGTGAGAATATAGACCATTTATAGAATATTAACTTTGGCATGCATACCGTACATCAACAATTTAATTCAATTTAGAAAAGACAGGGAATATCCCAAAGTCCCCATTCCCGTTAAATTGTATGTGCTCATCCAGCCAATCAGTTGAAATATGTGCTTGGGCCAAAATTAAAGAATCCAACGAACGATGCATCGGCGACATGTTGTAAACCGGTTTCCGCTATACGCGTTACTGAATCGCTGACAAGCACTAGTGTGTAATCTTGCCGATGGCATTTTAAGTTCCAGCAAAAGGAATGCAAGCACACCTCCGACCTAACACCACCACCACTCAGCCCAGCTACTGCATTTGCGGATCTAGAGGGTTAATGTCAAAGCGGGCCCGTCCGCCCTCACCCTTTTGTTTGCCTTACTTCTGTTTGACGTAACTTTTTAAAATAGATTTTCCTATGAGCAAAATATGTTCAATATGTATAATGTCAATCATGCCATACGTGAATATACTCCGCAGCTTTTAATGAAAATATAAATTGCTCATGTGGAGTCCTGGTAGCCTACAATCTGGCAAAACGCATTAAAGGGAGGCAACCATGACATCTCATCTGGGGAAAAACTGTTCCGTCCCCAGTGAATAACTTCACCATTTCTATTAGAAGGTGTCGGCGTTTGTGAGCTATCTGGTGCCATTACACCTAATTCCACTTTTAAATAAACCTAATAATTTCGTAATGTGGTGACATATTTCAATCGGCACCACAAAAGCTTTATTGCGGAAATAACCGAAGCATTCGGATTGTAATATTATAGGTAGAACTTGATTGACATACTCAAAATTAAATTGGCACTCAATTTTTCTGTAATTCTTTAATAACAATGTTATTTGACATAATAAATGTCACATAATATCAGTTTACGATCATGCTGAAAACAGGGATCAGCGCAATTTTGGTCTAAACGCCTTTCTGTTAGACTACGTAGTAAACAAATTGTTCAATGAATGGACTGTCAATTTTTGGAGGTGCTGCATTCCAAAATCAACTTCGGCCATGGCGGGATGAGAAAAACGGAATTTAGAGAGTGAATTCTAATAAAAGGAATTTTTGTATTTTCTGAGTTTTCTTTCAACAATGACACGGTAACACTTCACGCCAGTTTCAAGAGATGCGTTTATTAAAACCGAATTGGGTTGTTCATGATGGTAAACACAATTTCATTTTCGCCCCAATTCAGTTGCAAATTGTATTGTTTTTTTTTTCTATGTGCAGACAAAGCTTGTAAGCACGGATATCGCGATACGGCATAGCATAAAAAATGTTTTTAAAAAAGCGATTGCTTTCAAGATATGAATAGACAGACAGCTTTGCTGTATTCTTGCCCAAAGGCAAAGACCTCTGAATATTAACTAAAAAATTTAATGTTATTCATTATTATATTTGCAGTTATTATTATAGGGCCTATTTTTATATAAAATATAAATGTCATATTTCGGTTTAGAATAGTTTAGTATGATGGGAAAGGCTGTAGTTTCTGTCAACTTTACCTTGAAAGGAGATGAATAATAAGCTCTTGATTTAGAGTGTTGGACATTACAGAAAAAAATAAAGTTTTTCAATGAGACAAACCATCAAAAATTTATTCATTCATTAAATTTTTTTTTAACTGAGTTTTGTTTACTCTTAATAATTATTTTCTGTCATGTTTCAGGAAGACCGATATTCTCTATTGATATTCATCCAGATGGATCAAGATTTGCAACAGGAGGACAAGGTATACATGTGTATTCTATCCCAATTCAATTTATGTATATTTTATAAATGCATAAAAAAGTATTTTTAGAAACATTGTCAAGGTCTAATTCTCTAAATGCAATTTGTCAATCTTTAAAATCTTATCCTAAACATTCTTTTTCTATGGTGAGTAATACAGTCAGATTAAAGTAACTTAATATCATCCAAAGTCTTCCACATTAAAAACACGAATTATTTGTCAATTTAAATCAACATTGATGTTGTGATCTTACCGGGAAAAGATGGGCTTCCGATATCCAATATTCAAGACAAAATAAACATTTTAAAATTGGTACATGAATCGTGTAACATAATTCGTTTCAGCGCATTTGTAACAAAGGACTCGAAGAACGAGGCTAGACATATTCCACAAGTCATGTCAAACGGTGACCTTATATTCGTAACTGGAGAGCATGCGCACTAAATACTATCAATGTAGACTCGAATAACCAGACACTAGAGATTTCCATTCGACTGAGACTTCTGGCGTATTTTGCCGAACATAATTGTTTTGATATGGATTAAAAACGGAAACGACTGAATGTAAATCAGTTTATATACATTCATATTACATTATTATATGCGTTGCGACCCATTTGTGGCAGTTTCTAGGTCCAAAATATTAGCGATGTCTGTCTGTCCGACACACATTTTGTGACACAATAAGTCTCTTTCTAATTAAGCTAGAATGTTCTAACTCGGTGTAAGTGTTTATTAGGTCAATGCCTTGATGGAGTTCGAACATGAGCATTTTCTGCTTAGGTTAAGCAGAGATAATTTAAGCAATTTGATTTATTGATGCTTTTGGGCACAATAACTTTAGTTCTAATTATAAAGTGAGAGTAATAAAACTTGGTGTATAGTTAAATTACATCAATACATTGACTAAGTTTGATAATGAACATTTTCTGCTCAGGGTAAGCAGAGTGATAATCAATTTCATTGGCCGAGACGTTAGAACACAATAATTCTCCTTCTAATTGAGCTAGAATGTTCAAACTTGGTGTAGGTGTTTATTAGGCGAATGCCTTGATGGACTTCGAAGATGAGAATTTTCTGCTTAGGGTAAGCAGAGATAAGCAATTGGATTGGTTGATACTTTGGGGCATGTTAACTTTGGTTATAATGAAGTGAGAGCGATGAAACTCCAAATATAGATTCATTATAACATTACCTTGACTAAGTTTGATGGTGAGAATTTACTGCTTAGGCTAAGGAGCGATAAGCAATTTGACTGGTCAAGACTTGGGAACATAACAACTCTGCTTTTAATTAAGGTAGAATGTTTAAACTTGGTAAATGGCTTGACTGAGTTCAATGATTAACATTTCGAGTTAAAGCTAAGTAGAGCTAAGCAATTTCATTGGTCGATGCTTTGGGACAAGATAACTTTGATTCTATCTGATAGAGAGTGATGAAACTTAGTGTATAGTTGATAATGAGTTTGATGAAACTTAGTGTATAGTTGATAATGAGTTTGATTGCTCAATACTTTTGAAAAAAATAAATGTGCAATTAATTAATTAATGTGTCATCTATTTATTTTTGCGGGGGACATCAGCCTCACTGTTGACTTGGTTTTTTTTTTTATAGTTCCAAATTTATTTTTACTTGTCTTCACTACACCAGGATCTGGAATAATTGTTAAATAACCCACATTATACAGCTTAGCCTTTGTTTAAATATTGCTGTTGTTCTCAAATTTATTATTCTGATCAATATTTTTCACTTTTTTCAGGAGATGACTGCGGAAAAGTGGTTATATGGAACATGGCTCCGGTAAGAGATGAAGCAGCAGAAAAGAATGAAAATGTTCCAAAAATCTTGTGCCAAATGGACAATCATTTAGGTATGTTTTTATTTTTCACCACTTAATATAAGTTACAGCTAATTAGCTGTGTTAGCTGTCCACCACTTAGATTAGCTGAATTAACTAGTATGTATAGTTAAGAATTAAAACGTTCCTAAAATTTTTTGCTGAATGGACAATCATTTAAGAGTGTTTATATTTTTACCCACATATCTGCTAATAATCGGTCCACGACCCAGATTAGCTGTATTAACTATTATGTATAATAAATATCCTGGTTATCTCCAGTCATGTATTTTGTAAGAAACAGCTGGTGAACAGATTCTGATAACTCTCTAATCGTTGTAAAATGTTCTGATGTTGGTAAAATTCAAGTTTTATTCTGACTATTGTGGATATTTCAGCTTGCGTCAACTGCGTTAGATGGTCCCATAATGGTAAATTTCTAGCATCTGGAGGTGATGATAAATTGGTTATGATATGGCAGACTAGTAGGTTAGTATTCATGATAAATGTTTTAAAACTGAAATCAAGGTCCAAATTGCATTTGTCAAGGCATTACATTTGGGTGAAATTCCCAAAAGCATTGCCTAGCGATCGAAACTTTGTTAGCTTGAGTTATATAAAAACATGAAGCCATTATTTATGGGTGTGTCACCAATGCAAAAACAAATTATTGATATTTTAACTGAACCATAAAGTAAGGTATCTTTAATGTTTTTTTTTTTTACTGTCATATATTTCAGATATTCAGGACCATCTTCAAACTTTGGTTCTAATAATAAAGTAGTAAATATAGAACAATGGAGACCTGTCAGTACATTAAGAGGTCATGCTGGAGGTAATTAAATGTATTATGGAATAATTTATAAAATTTAAATGTTAAACATACATTTTGCAAGAGCTAAATCTGCCAATTGTAGGTCTTTTTTTAGGCCTGAAATGTTATCTAAATTGTTAATTAGACATTAATTAACTTATCCAGACCATAATCAACTCTCAATGGCATCGCTAGTCTGCGATATTTACTAGATTAGAACCTGGTCTGCTGCTTCTGATTAAATAAAAGAAATGGATAACCGAGACTATGTTTTATATTGTACTGAATTTAGTAAAGATGATCGAGACTACGCCCAAAATTCAATCGCTAAATACTCAGTTCAGGTAGGATCAATTTGACTGAAATTTTCAGCAAATTCCCTTTACATTATTTAGTTTTTAACTATTATAGTGAGAACTACCAGCTCTTTATCTAATCTCCCATAATGTATCTTTAATGCTTTGGATTTCATTTCTACATGCATGTCTCATCAAATTACAGTGTCATTTTGAGACACACCTGATTGTGGCAATTCAATAGAGGTTAAGTCGGGAGTGAAATTCTGACAATTGATCTCAAGAATTACAAAGGATGAAAAATAGTTCTTTAAAAGAGCAAACATACACTTGATTCTATGAAACCAGTTACATAGACCGTAAATCGGCCTTGCAGCTGTTAAAATTGTTCATATCTGATGTGAGTGCTAAACGGACATCAAAAATTCTAACCATTTACAGACAATTGTGGAGACTTGGATTTCAGATGCTGTATCTGCTTAGTAGAAGTAAAGTTATTCATTGTACTCTGTGGCATTTTATTTTGAACTTTCTTCCTTGTCATATGATTTAATACTATTTTCTTTATTTAGATGTTTTGGATATAGCATGGTCACCACATGATGCTTGGCTAGCCTCTTGTAGTGTGGATAATACAGTTGTTATATGGAACACCATGAAATTTCCAGGTAGGTATATTACTCTCATCTCGTGCTGAGGGTTTTGATCCCATAATGATAATAGTACCTAGGCTTCTTTCCACAACTAAAGAGGTTCTATAAGATTAACTAAAGGGGATGATACTTTCTAAAATTGTTTTTTTCCGGTAATGAGTGCTTGATTTCTTTACCAAACTGGAAGGGGTGCAACAAATTGAATTGAAACATTGGCACATAGCTTTCTCAACAACTGAAAAATATCATTCAATAATAGCAACAGCCAATGAACACTTACTTCTAGGCCATATGAATTAGGAATGATAATTATAGTTCTAAGATGGATACATGTTGCAGCTGGTTGTTTATATTTGTATTTGTTTATTTCAGAACAATTGGCTGTTTTAAAAGGACATTCTGGCTTGGTAAAAGGTGTAACATGGGATCCTGTTGGAAAATATTTAGCCACACAGGTAATAAGATATAATAATTATTCATTATATTTATCACAGTGACATATCATTAAGATGAGTAGCCTCATGGTTTGTGTCAGGAAGGCTCTTCTAAACAATTATCCTGGTCAAATGATCAAAAGCATTTTGCTTATTTTTTAAAGAAAAGAAAACGTTCAGCTTTTATGTGTGTATTTAGTGACAAGGTTTCGAACGCTGTAGTAGTTTCTGGATAACCATGTCTATAAGCTGAAGTATGGTTGTCACATTTAATAGGTAGCCTGTGTAAACAATTGACGGAATACGTTATCCAAAAATTCTGGTTATGTGTCAATTGTAACTTTCTGACATGACCATTACGTAATTTCTTCATAATTTGGCTTTTATATCGTGTGAAATCTGGGACTTCCCTTTTAAAAAGGGTTTTGAACAATGACCTGTCATGGATTTGTATAATATTTTTATAAACAGTAAAATAATTGTTGTTTAATTATGTATAATTGTAGTCTGATGATAAAACATTAAGAGTATGGAGAACAAGAGATTGGCAGGAAGAATCAGTTATATCAGAACCATTTAAAGAGGTTAGTTTAATATAGAAATATCAGTACTATTTTACATACTTCAATAATTAGAAAGCAATTGGAATAAAAAGTTATGGTGATGGGATGAAGGCATAGCTTTTTTTTTTACCAAAGCACCTGTAAAATTTTGCAATCTACTAAGCACATGTTGAGTGGTAATATAGAGAATTGCACTTTCAAATGGATGTTATAAAATCAAATCATTGCAATTCGAAGTGCAGTAACAGCGAAGAAATAAAATCCTGTCAGATTTTTTTTCTTTTGAATTCTCTTTCAATGTGTGAAACTTTGTATGTGTCGCTTATTAAATTAATCTGTCAAAAAAAATGTTAATTAATTTTATGTATTTTTTTGTCAGTGTGGAGGAACAACACATGTTTTACGTTTAGATTGGTCACCAGATGGTCATTATATTGTATCAGCTCATGCTATGAATAACTCGGGACCAACTGCTCAGATTATAGAAAGAGAAGGGTGGAAAGTTACTCTGGATTTTGTTGGTCATAGAAAGGCTGTTACTGTAGTTGTAAGTATACATTTCTTGAGCTGTAATAATCTCATAAATTGTTTCCAAAAATTAAGAATAATATGTCAATTTGTCTTTCTCATCAATGGCTATATGATAGCTGTATACAACTCTTGTAGGCCATTTTTTTTTAAATACGAATTGGAACAGTATTAAACAGGAATACACTCCCACAACTCAATGAAAGATAACTACCAAATTAAAAAAACATTTGTCATTGTATACCGCTTCGACTTTCTATGGATGGAGGTCAGAAAAACAGTAATATAACAATGTGGAGTATAAGTCGAATAGTCATATTTTACTGGGTTTCCTGTAACTAGGATAAAATATTTACGTGCAGTAATTTATGAGCCCGTTTTTATTTTTTGAAATAGAAACAGGTTATAGGACCCTTTTGAAGTAATACAGAATTTTTTTTTTATATGCCCTAAATATGTAGTTATTGCACAGACTAATAAAAGATATAATGCTTCTAAGAGACTGCTTTAATGTTGTAAGCAATTGAGCTGATTACAACAATCTTTTAAGAGGAATAATGGTTTACATGATTTAGAGCATACTTAAAATGGTGTGTTTTACTTTTCAGCGTTTCAATCCGAACATTTTTGAAAAACGAATAAAGAAAGACAGTGATAAGGTAATTTTTTTATTTTGGTAGAGGTTTGGCGTGCGTGTTGTCTTAGATCTGTATACACGACAAGGATTGGGGTCGTCTGATCTAAACTCGTTGGTCTTCACCCGGTTCTCTGGGTTAACAGTTAAAAATCAATGAAATGTTAGGTCCAATTTCATTTCTGCCTTCTTTTATATTTTGTGAATTGTCACAGAATTTTAACAGTAAAAGTTAATGTGCATGGATTATTGTTGTAACTATCTTGTTCCATGCTTGATAAATTCTATTATTATTATTTGCAGTCTCAACAATATTCATGTTGTGCTATAGGCAGCAAAGATCGCTCTATTTCTATTTGGGTGAGTATATTCAAATCAAAATTTGATTAAAACTCTGGCTAGCCTTTGGTCTCACAACCTAAATTTTAGTGTTGTATTCTTACTCTTGTTAGTTTAATGAGAGTACAGCGATAATCGGCAGAATTCCCTTGAAAGATTCAAAGAGGTTTAACACACCAATTAAATCAGCTTATCTTTTGGTTGATGATACTGCATCAGCCTGGGCTCAAATTTTAGAAACTGTAATATTTGTATTATATATTTTATGCTTTTTGCTTATTGTATTATGAAAGACTTGTTTTGGGGGATATTGGAAGTACTATTATTCATAATAATTGTCAATATTGATATTTCAATATTTGTGTATTATGTGTTTTCTAGCTAACAGCTTTAAAGCGACCATTGGTTGTGACTCATGATTTATTTGAGAGTTCTATAATGGATATATCATGGTAAGTAATATGTTGTATCTATGTTATTTATCAAGTGTAGAGAAGTACCTGTAACCAGAAAACTAAATGCTCTTGTGACATGAAACACAACTTATTATTGAATATTGCTGAAGACCGGGGTGAGGCATTAATGGCTCTTCTTCTACAAATGTATATTTGTCAAGCCATCTTGTTTTCTTCCAAAATATTCAAAACATTACTTCAATACCTTCTTCAGCAGAATTTCAAAATTTGCATTCAGTCACAAATATTTCTAAGTCATTTATAGCCATAATGATTCATTTGGGCTTCATAAAATATTTATTTGTGGGTTTCCAAAAAATAAAAGTAATACTTCGTCAATACCTTCTTCAACAGAATTTCAAAATTTTACTTCTAATCATAATGATTTCTTTGGGCTCCAAACAATAGTTATGTGTATTAGTTTCATGTAGCTTTCCAAAAAAGTTTAAAAGACTTGTGCCATCAAACAAGGTTCTAGTACAGTGATTAAGTAGTAAATTGTTGTTTTAATAGTAATGATTGTGTATTATTACAGGAGTAAAAGTGGTTTTGAATTGATATGTTGTTCTATAGATGGTACAGTGGCTTATATTGATTTTTCTGTAGAAGAAATAGGCAGCTCTTTAACACAACTTGAAGTAGTAAGTAAACTGTTAAATAATTTATTACAGGTGGACTGCCCTATAGTGTGATTGTTGAGGTTTTTTTTATAAGGCTGAGTCTGATATGGTTCCCAACTGTATCATACTGAAGCCTTTGTGTATGATCTATAAGTAAATTATTTAGTCCTGTATAACACCCATAATATGTAGTAAAATAGACTGCTACACAAAACAAACCACGTTTGTATAGTATTTGATACTTTTATTTCAAATAGGTGTTTAATATGAGTTTTACAAAAAAAACCCCACAATACATATGACCTAACATAACACATGTTCTGATATATGTCTTTATAGATAGGTAAAGAGAGTGGTCTAGAGCATTGTAATGCTTTATTTAATGAATGTAACAGATGAGTAGGGTTGGTTTGTGGTTTTCATATAATCTCTTCTAGAGTGGGCTGAACACAAGTGAAATTAATGAAGATTACCAGATGTTGTGGAGGATGGACATTCCAACCCCATTACTCTTTTGTCAGAGATTTATTTCCCCTGTATTATTCGATGAAGATTAATATTTTGCATTTTGAACTTTCAGCAAACAGTTTTAGAAAAAATTTATGGTAAAGGTTTACCTGTACGCTCAATGACAAACACGGGTAACCAAATTATTGAATCGGCAGCCATGTTGAATTTACAGCAACAGAAAGAAAAAGAAGCTCAGGAAAATAACAACAAATTACCATCTTCATCTCCACAAACGCCTAATAAAAAACAGCCATTGGTTAATGGTGATGTTCCTTTTAAGGTATGGTGCTTGGTGTTATATAATTTTTTTTTAAGTGAACATCATATTGATCTTTAATATACTGTTACAGAAAATGGGACAACTACTACTAGGGCAACTCGTACCTGTAGCTCAGTACCAGACAACCAATCCCTAGGACAGTTTTGATAAAGTTAACTGCTGTCACAAAACTATTTATATAGCAGAATTCACATCATTACTGTTCCCAGGCCCCATTCTATTATTAGATCAGCCTAGTAGAGAGCAAGCTCTTGACTATATCAACCAATAGTAAATTATCATTACGCGTGGCCTGGTCACAGGTCATCACACATTACTTAAACTCTGTGTGTACATAGTTACGGCACAGACAGCTGGTTACCATAGTGACAAAAAGGTTAAACCTATTAACAGAATATACTTATGAAATAAGGATCACTAAAACTACGATTTGTGTAACTTAATTTCTTAATAACTGCATGGCATCTATGAGATCTTAATAATTGCATGTTTCTAGACAGTTGATATTTAAACTACACGTTGATATGAAGGGGCCGCAGTCACTCAGTAGAGTAAGATACTGGCTCGCTGACCAGGAGGTCAGGATTTTCTGGTGTGCTCTACTCTTCAAACATAAGTAAATTTTCAAAACCACTAGCCAAACAAAATTTTCAGTTGCCAAGTCTGAAGATTAGAATAATTTGTCGTATGATATAGCTAAATTATATTGTGAACATACCTAACTCTTCAACTTGTCGTCCTATAATAATAATAAAAGATGTTTTAAACATTTTTTTCCGACTGGGACTCGCTGCGAGACGAAGACGGCGAAGCTTGTAATTTTGCTTGTTTGGGTGGTGTAGCGTCGGTAGCATGACTATCATCATTTTTCCCCGACTGAGACCACTGCGAGACGAAGTTACTTTACTAGTAAAGTAAGACGGTATAGGTTCGATTCGTCTGCTAGCCATGCTGTCAGCTGCATGCACAATGAGAATTTCCTCGCAGAGGACAATGAGATTGAACCAATTTCAAACCAGGAAAGAAACAAGAGTGACAGTTGACCGGGATCATTGCCGATTACGTTATCTTTATGGAGAAAAGTTCAGATAGCTATAGTGTTAATTGGGGACTTCAAGATATATGTTCACTCGACAGAAACCTAGCATTTATAAATATCTGGTCGCCATTGTCAAAATTCACTCGCAAATGCGAGTGTTTCAGTCACATTGTAGAGCCTTGCTCTTGTCAGTGGTGCAGGACGGAGGGCCTGACAAGGACAGTGTACACAGTGGCGTGCACAGAAAAGAACCTGTGACAGTTGTGGTTCAAAATAAGATTAGGCTATAGTGCTGCTGTCCGGGCAAAATTTCCATTACAACACACTGTATGGCACATGCCCATCTCCATTAGCCCAGTCGGTGCAGAAAAGTAGGATGTTAAACCCCATATCATTCCTGATATCAATTTTGTTTTTTCAGCCATTAGATAAACAGATAGAAACAAGAACACCTGATGGAAGAAGAAGAATAACACCAATATTTCTTGCTCCACAACCCGACTTTGGGTACATATCTTTCTTTTATTTTTTTCAATGGCACTTTTTAACATTTATTGGGTCTGAATCAATTTGAAGACATGCTGCAGTTCTATTTCTTAACAAAATTCTGCCAAAGATCACTAAGTAGTATGCTGGATTAAAATGGATTGTAACTTCTGAATGTTCTGAATTTCTATCACATTACATAAAATCCAGTTCTGTCTGATACCAAATGTAGTTCAAGAAAAATCAAGACGAACATTGTTTATCTGCCATAATTTATTTGTTGCCCGAAATTCTCATTTGAACATTTTATCTGGATTCCTTTCCATCCTTGATAACTCTCATCCTATTTTTATGTTCAATTATAAAGTATATTACAATATTATACAAATGTTATTTCAGAGAAGGACCTGTACCGTTCCCGGGTAATGATATTACAACTGATTCTAATATATCCTTTGCTACTAGTAAAGATCATAGTAAGATCCAGGTTGAAAAACAGGATAGAGTTACCATTCCTGGTCTAGTTTCACCATCATCGAAATCTGGTACCTCTCCACAGACAGGTTCTAATTTATCAGAATCCAAACCTAGTCCTATAACCGATACCAAAAAGGCAGCAGCTGATAAGAAGTCATCAGAAGCAGCAGTCTTCCAGGTGATTAGAAAAGTTGTTTTAAAGAATTTATCAGTTAGGAATTGTTGCAGATAGCCAAACAAGAACTAAAATGCATTTAGAAATTAATGCAACCTGAAGTAGGTCAAAGTTGAAGGGCGTATCCAGATGTGAAGTTTATTTACTTTTGTCATTGAATAGGTTACTTGTATGAAATATTATATATTGTTTGTGAGGAATCAAGAATTGGACTTCAAATCAAACCACAAATCTGATGAATCAGTATCCAGATCTGTATATTTATGTACTATTTCTTCTATATTTGATTCCACGGTTGTATGTGACAAGGAGTAGGGTCGTCTGTCCAACCTCGTTGGTTTTCTCTGGGTCTGCCGGTTTCCTCCCACTGCTAAAGACCAATATGCGCAAGCGAATTATTGAAATAAAATTGAACCATGTGTTAGTCCCAAAATGACCTAGCTTGTGTCAAGTGGACATTAAACCTTATTTCTCTCTCTTCTGTATTTTGTTAAACAGTTAGTCTGCATTGTCTATAAGTTTAAGACCAATTATATACGTTACAATTGAAACCATTTTAAAATTTCTTTTGTAGCCAATGACAGCTCTAGAAAAAACACCTGAGAAAAGAGATAAACCTAAAATTTCATCTAGTACACCTATAGATAAGTATGTTATCATTTTGATATTAATGTTTCATACTGGTTGAATACCTTATGCCACCTTCTCTGGTTGATAAATGTACCTTGTGATCTTTGAATGTAGTGGACCTCACTATAGCAGTGTTTGCTGATAGCTGAGTGTTGGTTATAATGAAGCTCTTCTTTTATATAGGTGTCCCTTAATCGTTAAATGGCATTTATTAACTGGATAGTGTTGTATTCGGATCCTTGGATCCAGGGGTGTTACACATTTCAATGTGGGTGAAAACAAAAATCAACCATTCTCCATGTTAGAATTCCAATCTCTTTCTTTATTACTCTAAAAGGCAGAAGAACTACCACATAAGGGAGACAACTTGTGTCTCCTTAAACATAAGGTTTCAGACCACAATGATATAGAATATACCACAATATGACAATAGATTAAAAACAAAAACACATACTTATGAGTATTCTCTTAACGTTATCAAGCTAATACAGCAGTACAGATATGAGGCAAATATATAGACAAATTATAACAATATAACCAAAACCACAAGATCAAAGGCATGTAACACATACATATACAATGACAAGATTAGGTGATAATTAACTAGATGATCCATGGCCACTGGGGACAAAATATACACAAATTAGAAACCATACCTACAACAACTAGATCAAAGGTCCATGACTCAATTGGTTAAAATATACATTAAGAGCGTTGAGTAGTCTAAGATAGGCACTAACTTTTCAGTACCAATCTTATTAAGACTTTGCACACTTGTTCCATGTGTAAAATAACCCAGTCCGACGGTTTGTTGTGTAATAATGGAGATACAAGCAGAAATAAAAATCTATTTATAGCAAACAAAGTTCTTGAATAAATTATGACATGGTACACATTGGTCACATGATCTGCAGTAAACAATAATGGCTGCCTCCAGCATCGGTTTCAAACTGGACTACGTATCCCAATTAAGTGACATGACCAAAAAGAATTTCCTCTATGACACGACTATCCAGGTCTACCATCTATCACGACGGAAACATTGCTTAATTTCTTTTTTAGATGGTCGACATTTTTGAAAATATAAAATGATTTTTAGTGCAGTGAAGTAGTGCACCAAAGTAAATATTTACTTTTTACATCTGAATTGTTGTATTTAAAACTTGCTGTGGACGTATTCTAAAAATTTACCTAAAATCACAATATCTTGTTTGAAGGTAAATAATGAACAAAGATTTTGAAATACTTTGAGTTGGTATTTTTTAATGATTTTAGTGTCGAAATGTCGCTTATAACCCCTGCTTTCGATTATAGAATTTCCAATTGTTGTATTTAAAACGTGTTGTGGGCATATTCAAAGAATTTACCCCAAATCTCGTTTGAAGGTAAATAATGAACAAACATTTTGAAATACTTTTGAGTTGATATTTTTTTGGTGTAGAAACATCCTTATAAACTCTACCTTCGATTATAGAATTGCCAAAAAGTGAACCGTAGGTGACTTTTATTTTGCACTGTATCACCCCAAATAACGAAAAAATGCCATATCTTATAAACAAAACTTACAGCGCTAGCTTTAAAATGTGCATTTTAGAGTACTCAATACCGTTAATAAGATGAAGGAACCAGATAACTATGTTGATCCATAAGGCCACAAGGGTTATGGTGATTTTAACATATTTACAGAGTGTAAGTCATATGGATGATTAATATTAGGCTAGAGGGCATACACATTTGTATCAGCAAATCAATCCAACATGATTGAAGCTGTTTAAGGCCAGATGAAAAGCAAATAGTTATTTATATTTGGTCATCAATTACATGTGACTATTAGTTATATGATAGAAGATATGCTCTTTTATCGACTTGCCAATTCGATTTTAATTTAGTGGAGATGTCATGTGACAGTAAAGTCGATTTAAAAGTACTTTGGCGAGTTCATTAAATGCGCCTTTTAGCTGTAAACAATTCTTGTGGCTGGACATAGTTGGAAAAAACATGTGGTCACCTGATCAAACCGTCAAATCGCACCTAGAGCTGATTTGGTGTTTTGTGGTAATCGCTTCGGACATCGGTGTTGGTAAATTCATTGATTAGCGTAATCAGTTTGAATTAGATGGATGTTAACGATGAAAATTTCATTGAATGCAAATCACTCTGGCTCTTCGGTGTGGATAAAAATGCAATTGAAATATGGATTTTACGAGACATTCAAAAATCAAGAATAAGGCAGAGTAGAAAATAATAATCAATCAGTTAAAAAAAACGCACAAGTGTCCAGTAATGAGGAAATGTAGTTAACTACTATTAATATTGACATCAATGTTAAATTGAAGCCCAAATGTAATGTTATTTCTATATTATTGATGTCAATTATTTTTTACTATAGATCATCAGATAAAGAAAAAGTTAAACACAAAGATAAAACAAGTAGTTTGAATTTAAAACGTAAAAATGATGAGAAGAGAACTGGGAAAGTTGGCAGACCTAGAAAAGAGAAAGAATTGAGGGAAGCAGAAAAACAACTTACACCAGTTGTTACTGGATTGGTTAGTATATTAATTCATCCTGCAGACACCATCCTCCAAACTCTAACAGATCAATAGTAATTGAGATAATCAATAAGTCAGGATATAAGAAAAAAGATAATATTAAGCAGAGCTACTGCAACCGATTATGGGTTTGTCATGTGAATAAATTCTTGATTAATAATTTATATAACAATTAAATTAAAAAAATGACCTGCAGTAGGCTCTTACAAAATTAGCTCTTATAAAATGAATCTTTACGGTTATAGAACTATTAATTTTATGTTCCATTGGTAAATATTTAAAGATATCTTTCATTAGGTAGTACACAGTTTACTAGAATTTGAATATGAAATGAACATATTTATGATGATTGTTACAGCCATTAACAGAGAGAAGTGGTATGAGACCATATCAAGCAGTCAATGAAATAAATCTACCAGTTCCTACTATAGATAAAATAAAGTCAATTGTGGTATGTATTTGTTTTTATCACAAGACTCTTAAAGACCTTTATTATAGTCTCTTACAACTATCGGGAGCTCTGTGGCGGCTTTTTTCAGAAATGCAAAATTTAAGTTTACACATGTTAAAGCAAATCCAGTGTGAGCTGAAACTTTTGGCTATTTTGTCACATTTTGGCATTTAATTTGAATACTTAAATCCATTTTTGGTAACCTGAAAACTGGGACTACCCTTTTTATATGCCCATGCTTTCATGCGAACGTATATTGGCGTCGCCACTGTGCTTCCATCCACAATTTGTTTGTGGACACTCGACAGGTCACAATTTTTATCCCATTTTGACAAAACTTGAAATATAGGTCTATCTCCCAAAGATCTTGGTTCCTTTCGAAATTGGCATGAATCCGACCATAACTTCATGGATTATGACGTTTTTAACTTGTGAACCCTCTAGAGGTCACAGTTTTTATCCGATTTTAAAAAAATGTTTAAATATGTCACCGTTAAACCCTAACGTTGGTTGAACTTGAATTTCGTAAAAATCAGAACGAAATGAAATGAAATGAAATGGGGTTTATCATCCTACTGTTCTTCTCCTATACTGGGCTAATGAAGACGGGCATACGCCATACAGTGTGCAATGAGGGAAATTTTGCCCGGGCAGCGGCACTATCGCCTGCTCTTATATCGAATTCCAACTGCCAAGGGATCTTTTACGTGCATTCCAATGTATACACGGGACCTCGGTTTTCCGTCTCATCCGAAAGACTAGACAGCTGTCCTTGTCAGGCTCTCCGTTCTGCACCACTGACAAGGGGAAACCATGTGGGAAAATACAGATGAACTTTCTCGGCCAATGCAGGGATCGAACACCCGACCTCCAGGCTAGCAAGCCAGCCTCTTAACCACCTGGCCACCGTGGCTCCCTAAATCAGAACGAAACTGCCTGACAAAATGGCCACTCCTGTACACAAATAGTGTAAAAGTATGGAATACCAAGGTTGTGTACCCTCTTGGGTCACAATTTTTATCCGATTTTGATGAAACTTAAAATATATGTTTATGTATAGTGCATATCAGACCCTAACTTCCTGGATTATGGCCCCCGATTGTACTAAAAATCGCTTCTTTTTTTAACTCATTCTCTGTCCATCTCTTGCAAAATGTGGGCGTATCATGCATGGCAACAACTTGTTGGACTAACATATGGATCCATTTTATTTCAATAATTTGCTTGTGCATTGGGATGTTTAGCTGTGGGAGAAAACTGGAGAACCTGGAGAAAACCCACAAGGTTAGACAGATGACTCTTGTCATGTACTAGTGTGGGCTTGAAACCATGCCACCTGACTCAATGACAGACCTTATGATTTAAAATGTATGCTTTAGACCTTTTGGCCACCAAACCTGCCAAAAATGAATAGATTTATATTGTATTCCTTTCATTTCCTAGATTTGTGGTGTTGAAGGTGAAGAGAACTTTTTATCTTTGGAGGTAGAAAACCAGGTCCAGTGTGGTTTAGTAACGGTACATAAACTACGATGTGTCAAGGATGGTGCTATGTTATGGGAGCAAGTTTTAACTTCTAAAATAAATATAGCAGCTGGATCAAAGTAAGATTAGAATTTATTCTCTAAATTGAGATGAAATAGGGTTTAATGTCCTACTTTTCTATAATCACTGGGCTAATAAAAGACAAGCATACACCACACATTCTGTTATGAGTGAAATTTTGCCTGGACATAATTCTTATTAGTGATTGTAGAAAAATGACTAATAAATGGCTGTAAAAGGGAGAAATAATTCCAAACTATCACTATTAAACACATATTGATAAAGTGAACACTGGTTATTTTTGCTTTACTCAGTACTAAGATAAAGGATCCTTTAGATATAATATAATCCTTTAGTGCCATTTAGCGATTGAGCACAATAAAAAACACAACACAGTTTATATGGAAAATGTTCTCTTATCGTTTTAAAATATGTATGTAATATTAAATTACAGGTGTATATCTTGTGCTAGCTGTGAAGATCAGTCAGTTCTTATATTTAGCGCTGGAGGACGAAAACTTTTTCCTAATATAGTGCTAAATTCTAAAATATCATTTTTACATTGTTGTGGCTACTATACTATGGCAGTTACTCAGAAAGGCAGCTTATATGTATGGTAGGTGTCTTGGGAATTTTTCAATCATTGTTAGTTAATTTAGTTGTGAAATGAAATGAATTGGGATTTAACCCCTTAACTGCGTAGTTTTTAAAACGTTAACTACCCCCTATTTCGTAATTAATTTGACAAAAAACTCATTTTGGACCTTTTCATTCCTGAATACAAAATTTGGTAGTCTGAAACCAAATTAAAACTAACAGTAAATAGAGTTGTCTCCTTTCAATTAGATTTCCTCGACCAGGCGTAATATAACGTCTTACACATGCTGCGATCGTGTTCGAAGAATAGGTTGGGGAAAATACCTCCAGGACGTTATATTACGTCCTACACACGGTGAGTGGCAGTTGTCCAGGACGTTATATAAAGCCCTACGCAGTTAACGGGTTAACATCCTACTTTGCTGCACCAACTGGGCTAATGAAGAATGGGAATATTCTATGAAATGTGTTATGAGGGGAAATTTGCAAGGACAGCAGTGAATTCCAACTGTTGAGGGCTTTTTTTGCTGCCCATCTGAGAGATCAACATGCTCCCCTTCCTGTACTACTGGGGGAAACGATGCTGCAATATCCTGAGAATATTTTTCCCTGCCAACACCGGAATCGAACCTAGATCTTATGCTTAGTGACGTGACCCAGAGTCTTACTGGGTTGTGAGCTTTCCGCATTTGGATCAATCATGTGTTAGATGTCGAACAGTATGATTATAACTTTGAATTTTAACTTTGAAAGGTGTTCAACTGATTTTGCATCTGCATGTCAAGGAAAATTTGTAATTTGTACTCATTTTTACGGTTTGTTAATCTTGTTTATTGTGTTTTTCTTCTACAGGAATATGCAATCTAAAAGCGTGGTAATAAAAGATGAAAAATTGTCTAATATGGTCTCCGGTAATGTTTCATCTACATTCTTTAATTAACAAATATCTATAAAATACAAATGTTTATGGACCTACTTGATTTAGTTATAGTTCATTACACAGAGTATTGCTCCAGAACAAAACCAAATCATGTACATGACACATTTCTACATCGGAACTGATTTTATCTAAATGGTTGATATGTTACGCGATAACATTTTGTCCGTCGAACTAAATCCATGGATAAAATAATTAAATCTTCAAAAATACCTTCTTTTTTATTTATTGTCTCCCTTTGTTGCTTCAGTATTTGAGAAACTGTCATGTGGGGTAAAATAATGAAATAACTTGAATTATAGGTGAGGTTATAATCAAATACGAACAATAAAGATATATCTGTTATAATAGAAAACAAATTACACAGTTCCGCCATTACATGTAATAAATGTACTGTATATTTTATTAAGAAAATTTGTTATTGAATATTTCAGGTAGTATAAAAGTTGAGAAAGCTATATTAACACCTGAAGGACATCCTATTATAACTTTATCCAACTCTAAATCATACACATTTCAACAACAACTAGCTTGCTGGTAAATTTATATTTATTTAATCCATTGATCTTTTGTGATTCCTGTTCAGAGTAAGATTTACCATATAGATAAGATAGCCTCTTGTAACACATATATATCATATGATAGAGCGCATGCGCGAGCTGTGCAGTCGAACAAATATGTATGTGTGAAAAAAATTGATAATAACCTATAAATGTTAAGTATGTGGATAATATTATGAATGATAAAGTACGCCTGAAGTTCCCTTGGACCAGTTTTCATCATTAATGCTGTAAAATACTGTGAAATATTTCTACTTTATCGATTTTTCTACACTTCTGAATTGGCGGGCCGGTCAATGTAAATAAAGAAAATGGCGACTGCACTCGCACGTCTTGAGGTAAGCCCAAATATACCTACTTGCAACAAGTTTGAATTAACAGAGAAGCACAAAAACACAGGCAAATCAAATAAACCTACTACCCGAAGTTCGAAATACACCATTAATATCGACAGATGTCTGAAAAAGAAACTTAATTCAACGTATAGAGATGACTTTGTAATAAAACCCACGGACGGAGGGCTCCGACTGTACTGGAGTGCTGGTCACTATGAAGAGTTTCGGGGTGTAGCTCAAATCTTTTACAAAAACTTGAAAAAAGAAGGACAGCTTGAGATCGATATGACTGATCTCACAGACAGAACCAAAAATGTAACTGAATCCACAATACTAAAAGTATATTCAGTTCGAAGAAAAAGCAGTTTCCGCTACACGATTAACATGTTTCACACAACATCCTCAGCTCTCGTCAATGGTAACCATGAGAATATTTTCCTCAATACTCATTTACCAGTAAATTCTAGAGATGGTGAACACTTCAAGAGCAGACAATTTGAATAAAGCCATCCAACAAAAGATACATGTACCTGCTTGTACTAATACTACTAGTGTGAAGAAATCACAGAATCAACCACAGACTGAAGCATCAACCCAGTCTGTCCTAAAAGTAAACACTCCCTCTACCGACACACACTTGTGTCTCACAGAAGAAGAGCAAACTGATAATCCCTGTGCTACATCCGAGAAGCAACCAACCATGTCTACGGTAAGCACACCCTCGGACGTTTTACCTGAGGAAAACCATGTTGACAATAATAGCCCTGTCGAAAATATAATGATATGCAGTCCCACCAGTATAAATGTTGTGTGTCCTTCAACTTCAAACACATCATGTCCTGATCCACCTCTGCATGTACATAGCCCAAGAGAAACACTACCAGGAAGTGAAAACATTACACCTGTAATTCCACCGAGACCTGTCCCTAAAGTTAGACGACTAAAGCTCACTCCCTCAGTAAGTTCTGCATGTAGTAGTACGTATGCCGCTAAAACCATCTCATCTAAAATTAAAACAAAAACTAAATATTCCAATGGGGCTAGTAGCAAATCCAACAGTGCCACACAGCTAACTAACTTACAGATGACGGTCACAAATCTTGAATCCGACATCCTGAAATTAAATGCCGAACTTAAAGAAAAGAACGGCATAATAACAGACATGGATACAGAAAACTCAGAGTTGAAGAACAGACTTGCAAAACTGTTGGAAGAGAATAAGACCTTTGTTGCCGCTTTTAATTCACTAACTGTAGATAACAATAAACTGTATCAAGAAAAACAGATATACAAGTCGACCAACGACACCGTTGCCACACCAGATACTAAAGACCAATCACAACAAACAGACAAGTCATTAAATGTAGAAGTAATAGAGCCTTGTACAAACTTTATTATAGGGTCCTCTGTACTAAAGAAAATAAATTCTCGCAGGCTGGATAGAAATGGCAACACTGCAGTCAGAGCCATATCAGGTGGTAAAATAAGAGACGCAATTAATCTGCTTGAAAGGTGCTCCATATCCAAAGAAGTAGAAAAGATAGTGTATTTAATAGGCTCCAATAATGTTTCTCACAATATGAACTTAGATAGTTGCAAAAATGATTACAGGCAGTTAATTGAAACAAGTCAAACAAAATACCCAAATGTAGACATCAACTTCTTGAAATTACTGCCTAGAAGATCCACCACATTCAACCAACAGCTTGAATCCCTAAACACAGTCCTTAAACAGACATGCAATGAACAAAATTGTACCTATATCTCAGACCATGTTAGTTGCTTTACTAAAGATAATTCAATCAAAGAATATCTGTATGCTGATGGGACACATCCCAACTACAAAGGCTCAGCTAAACTAGCAAGTCATCTAAAAGCTACCCTTAACCTTGAAGTAAGAAAGTTTGGACAGGCTAATATGAAATCTCCACACCCTGCATTCAATGACAGGGGTATGGTCCCTCCCCCGAGGATCACACAACTACCATTTTGGCTGCTCCCACCCATGGCAGATATGCGGTTTCCGCCGCCCAGTCATCTACCAACTTTTCCTTTTGACAACACATATCGAGCACCAGTCAAGAATCCAGCTGCTTTCACTTATGGCAAAACATATAATTCTACAGTCCAAAATTCAGCTGCCTTCCCCTATGGCAACAAGTATCAACCAACAATCAAGACTACCGCTTGGGGTAAAGCATATTTACGTGGGTAGTAATACCTGTGATAGTTATAAACATATTTACGTGTGTAGTGTATTCAGTGTATAATACATGTACCTGTGTGATACATGTAGTATAAACACTTTCTAAAAATTCGACTTAAAAAATCTAAAAGGCATATTGTGAGTGCTGCTATAAAATAAGTGCTGTGAATGTGGTTCCAGAATCCAGATCGACTTTGACAGTTTTGTTGGTTGGTTTGTTGTGTTTTTTTTTGTTTTTTTGTTTTTTTTTTAAAATCCACAAACTCCCAAGTTTGTGTGCTGCCTGTTGAGAAGTGATACATGATATACCATATAGAATAAACATGTAGGAAGGATACCTACAGTATAACAATCTACATGTAGCTATAGCTGTCAAGGTGTGGTGTATCATAATGTACAATATAACTGCCGTCCATTTATCCATTAGTCAATTGCCAATATAGTGCTTATTTTTATTAATTAAATGAATGTAAAATGTTTGCACTACTCATTGTAAATATGATCATGTACCCACTCTAAGCACAGGCAAAGGAATGCACAAAGGTTAATCGAGGTACCTACAATGTATCTGTGTTAAAGACATGTGCCTGTATCAATAATATAATGTATATATTCTACATGTACGCCAAGTACTTATATTTCACTTTATTTTTCCACACTTTGTATTTATAGGTTTGCCTTTTTGTAAAATTATCCATATTTGTGTAATCTATTACCATCAGGTATCCTGTTAGTAATTATATGTTCATTGTGATTGCTTGCTTATTTCATTATCACACTCATTGTTTATAGATTACAACACTGTTATTATTATATTGCCATATTTCACTCATTATGTCCTTACAGATAGGTTTCTGGAATGTCAATGGCCTCATATCTAAACTCAATAATGACAAAGCTCGGAATGATATGTTTCAGTATTTTTGTCATTTGGATATTATCTGTTTAATTGAAACCTGGTCTAATGATGAGCATGAAAACTTAGATTTACTACAAAATGTATTTAGTGGTTACACAGGATTTATATTCAGTAGAAAGGGAAATAACTCTCCAAAATTCGGCCAGAGAGGCGGTACAGCAATATTTATACGAGATCAATATAAACATGGTATCCAAATTCTTGACTCCTCGGATGGGGACATAATATGGTTCAAATTAAACAAATCTGTTTTCAATATCAGTAATGATCTTTATACTGCTTCTGTTTATATTCCGCCCCAAAATTCACCAATTTGGCAAAAGAAAAAATACAATCCATTCGATGAACTTGAGAATAACATTAGTAAATATAAAGATTTAGGCGATATACTTCTAGGAGGTGATTTTAATTCCCGAACATTTAATCTCCCAGATATATTCATTTCAGATATAGATGTGTCTAATAGTAATAAACCTTTTCCACAAATTGACAACTCAAATAATATAAACAAAGATAAACTTCCAAGAATTAGGAATAATAAAGACTCTGTTATAAATACCTGGGGAAGGGAACTTGTCCAACTGTGTAATACAACAGACGTGTATATCCTTAATGGTAGAACACTTGGTGATTACTTAGGCAACCATACTTGTATTAACTATATAGGCTGCAGCTCGGTAGACTACATTCTTATAAGTACATAATTAACTGACAAAATTAATTGTTTTAAAGTTTCGGCCTTGACCTATTTGTCGGATCATTGTCTTATATCTTGCAAGATTTTGGCCAAACCTAATCAGGTTATATTATCCCCTACATTAGGTAACCCTTCTGGAAATACCCCCTCAAATCCTATACAGAAACCTTATAAATTCATATGGAAATCTGATTCGAACCAATCCTTTATCAAAGAACTAAATAAACCTTTTCTCCGGACTCAAGCATACAGATTTTTGTCGAAGTCCTTTGATGCTAATGACACAGACAAGGCTAACTCAGATCTGACCAACATTTTACTTGACGCGTCAAGGGCATGTGTCAGGTTTGTCAGGATCAGAAAATCAACTAAAAAACACAAATGGTTTGACAAAGACTGTAAAAGACTCCGTAGGGACATGTTAGAGGCCCAACATAATTTCAACAATAGCCCACAGAATAATTACTTAAGAGAAATATATTATAGCAGAAAGAAAATTTATAAAAAGGTAACAAAATATAAAAGCCGTGAAGCTAAAAATTCAATTATTAAGAAGCTTAATGAGTTAGAGACAAATGATCCCAAAATTTATTGGAAGCTGGTAAATTCTTTGTTAGATGATAAAAATGATAACCCTAAAACTGACAGTGACATTTCTATTGATAACTGGCATCAGCATTTTTATAAATTATTCCAAAATAATAATATGAACGATTCTGACTCTCAGGAAATAGATAAATTAATTCACAATCTCCAAATACCAAATAATGTAAACCTTGAATTAAACCAAGAAATTTCAGCCATAGAAGTAAGAAATGCATTTAAAAAGTTAAAACTTGGAAAATCAAATGGCCCAGACTTAATTCTAAATGAAATGCTAAAGACTTCTTCAGAAATTCTAATAGATCAGTACATGAAATTGTTTAATTTAATCCTCGCTTCCGGAGTAATACCTTCAAGCTGGAATCAATCCTACATAGTTCCAATACATAAAAAAGGTCCAAAGGAAGACCCTGGGAATTACCGAGGAATTGCCCTGGCTAGTTGTCTTTCTAAATGCTTCCTGTCCATTATTAATAATAGAATTACAGATTATCTTGAGTCAAACAATATGTTAGATCCCGCCCAAGGTGGCTTCCGTAAAGGTCATCGGACCATGGACAATATATACATTCTCAAAACGATCCTAAATAAATATAAAAGTAAGCATCAAAATGTTTTTATCAGTTTCATAGATTTTACTAAAGCATTCGATACCATTTGGAGAAAGGGGCTCTTACTTAAATTACTCAAACATGACATAAATGGAAACATCTTTAACATAATACATTCAATGTATAGCGGTACTTCATATATAGTTAAAACCAACAATGGACTTTCCAAACAAATAAGTTCAGATATCGGTGTCAAACAGGGCTGTGTGTTAAGCCCCACGCTGTTTAATATTTATGTTAATGATTTGCAAACTTATATTGGTAATGCAGCAGCTCCTTGTCTTGGTGATCTCAAAATATCTCATCTCTTATTTGCAGATGATCTTGTATTATTCTCAACTTCTTCGCTAGGTCTCCAAAAATCTCTTAACCAGCTGCATGAATATTGTACTAAGTGGAAATTGGAAGTAAACCCAATTAAATCTAAAATAATGTGTTTCATAAATACCCCCAAAGATAATAAAATCTTCAAGCGCAAAAATGTAAATTTTACTTTTGGTAATACTTCTCTGGAAATCGTTAATTCATATATGTATTTAGGCATAAATATAACTAATAACAATTCTTTTAAAGGAGCTATGTCTGACCTTTGCAAAAAGGCAAGGCGAGCTTGGTATAGTATTAAAAGTAAAGTATGCGTCTCTAATCAATTACCTACAGAAGTTCTAATTAAACTGTACGACTCTGTTGTAAAGCAAATTGGATTGTATGCCTCTGATGTTTGGGGTTCCCAGTTAGTGCACAATGTAAAATTAAATTTATCTAAATGGAGTAATATAGAACACAACAAGATAACCATAAAAACCTGTAAGTCAATATTGTGCCAACCCCCTAAAACTACTAATATGGGTTGTCTTGCTGAGCTGGGAATTTTCCCACTGCAACTAGATATATACCATAGAATGCTACTCTATTATAAAAGATTAAACCATCCTGACATGAAGGATTCAAATCCGTTACTAGCTGAAGCCTATAATGATGATATTAAAATAGCTAAGTCTAATATTAAACTCTCATGGACTGCCTCTATAACACACTTAATAAATTATTTCAATATAAATCCGTCAAACCTCACTAAAGTTAATATCAAATCATCACTTCAATCCAAATTCAACTCCCTTTTCACCGAATCATGCCACTCCAGTCCATTTAAAGCTTCAAAACTTAGGACCTACAGTTTATTTAAAACAGAAATCTATAAACCTGCTGAATATCTCTGTTATGTACATAATAAGAACTATAAAATAGCCATGACCGCACTCCGACTTAGTTCACACTCACTCCAAATTGAAATGGGCAGATACAAAAATGTCCCCCCAGATCTGAGAATATGCCAACAATGCTCTATGCACAAAACTGAAGATGAAGCACATTTTTTACTAGAATGTCCATTGTATGAAAATTTACGTACCGTTTACATATACCCAACATTTACGGATAATTATCTACCCTATTCTCTAGAAAATCTATTTAACCCACCAAAAACAGTTTCAAAATCAGTTAGTGCTTTTGTATTTCATGCAATGAATCTAAGAACATAAATTGTGTAGCGCTACATGTACGTATGTATCACTACATATACCTTTCTGTATCAAAATTATTATCTAGATTTCCATGTATTGATATATTTTATTCCACGTTTTATTAATCGATTCATGTAATGCTTCTAGCATTCCTATATCATATTTCCATGTCAAAACCTATACTAAGTCTTTCTGTTATTTATGTATTTATTATATTTATACACATCCATCATGCTTGTGTTGAAAGTCGTGTCATTATCAGACCAGTTTGTGGTAAATATGTATTCTGAGATGATTATCATACTGTTTGTCCTGTTAGTAAATGTGTAATTATGTAAAATTATCATTTGTCTTGTTTGTAAATACATGTATATATCTATTATCTGTTATACTATATCTTTATATACATGTTCATATTGTATGCTGTCCTTAATGGATGTCTTGATACAATAAAATCTTATCTTATCTTATCTTATGGGCTTGACATGAAAATTGGCTCTAGTCCTTCAGATAATACAAAAAGTGTCAGATGTCCTACATCAGATTAATTTTGACTGAATGCTGTTAAAGAATATCAGAGACTATATTTTGTTATCTTTTTATTTTTCAGGGTATTGATACATGAAAATATTAACAATCTAAAACAGTGTTCAGATTTTCAGTGTTGTAAACCACCAAGTGAAGGAGGAAATATATCCGGCCCACTAATGATGTTACAAGCTGCTAATAACAGGTTTGTTGTTTATAATGTCTCACCGAATGTTAAATAATAATAAATCCATTAGCAATCGCTACAATCCACAAAGTGTGATCAATTTAATCCTTTAGTGGCATTTAGCGATTGAGCACATTAAAAAACACAACACAGTTTATTTGAAAAACAATCCCTGGTTTATATACATGATGCGTTTGAAAACGATAAGAGAATACTTGTTGAAACTTAGTGATATATGTATATAAACCAGTGATTAGTTTTCCGTAGAAATTGTGTTGTGTTTTTTAGTGTGCTCAATTGTTTTTGTAGAAAAATAGATATATGAAACATTAAAAGGGATGTTTGTATGTTAATATTAAAAACAAAAATAGTGTAAAAAGATTAATTTAAAAACAGTCACACAGTGTTAAAGTTGAGATATTCAAAATTGGTCGAGTAATAGTGGCTTTATCAACACATTATTCTATTATTCTTCTACATATATTTTTTACAATGTCCATTTGTGGTGTGGCAACCTTTGCTACAATGTCCATTTGTTTACAATTTGATAAAGTAACTGTTTGATTTAATTGTTGAATACAATGTTTATCTATACAGGGCTGGTCAGCAAGCATCCCATACATCTAGTAGTACTTCTACTATACAACAGACAGCTACAATAGGTCATCTAGAGAATCAAGTGGCTATATGTCATGGTTTACAGTCTGTTGATGAATATAAGTTCTGGTTTATGTCTTATGTTCGATATTTAGTTCAAGAAGGTATGTAAACACAACATTTTAACTTGTGTATTTGTATCCTTATAAAGCAGGGCCCTTATTCACGAAAACTTAAACTAAGATACAATTGAAATTTTAAGAAATACTGCAATTCGATTGGCTGACCAATATGCAAATTGGATATATGCAAATTGATTTTACTGGTCAGCCAATCGAATTGCAGTATTTCTTAAAATTTCGATTGTATCTTAGTTTAAGTTTTCGTGAATAAGGGCCCAGGTAATAGTTTAATTGAAGAAAACTTAAATGCAAAATGATGATATACACCATTCCGGCCAAAAATGAGATGAATTAGCAGTGAGATATCTAAGGTCAATACAAGAATTTATCAATATAATGGTATTTTTTGTCCGTAATGCAGTAAGTGAATCAGTTGTCCAGATTTAGAACTTGTTAGCTGAGTGTGGTAAATGCTACACGTTAATACCTCTTACTCAAAATGGATATACTGCATTTTTCATTCAAACTTAAGTAAGATTTCTGGGAGTGAGACATAACATTTCTGACAACATGTTCTCAATTGTTAATCCTGCAGAGAAACTATAATAACCACATAATGGTTATTCAGATTAATATGAAGCCATTATTGTAACAAAACAAAATATTTGCAGGTTTTGAAGTTAAATTAAGAGAAGTATGTGATGATCTCCTAGGACCAGTTATAAAGAATAAATTTTCAGCTTGGCAGTCTCATGTACTGGTAGGTTCAGACCGTTCAATCCAGAAATGGAAGAGTTAGCTTGTTATTACTCACACTCACATCTGATTTTGCGATTTTACCATATAATGAAATTGAATTTAGACACACTGCACTTAGGTCTTATTTAGACTAGTGTACATTGTTTTTCATGGTTGAATTTTAGGAAGATACAAACATACAAATTCCTTCACTTTTCAGCTTTTCATCCTGGCCTGCCTCACTCAAACCATACCATGGTTTAATAGAGGATACTCTAGTTGTAGGTCACTTGTCCCAACACAATGGTTTAACACAGGATACTCTAGTTGTGGGTCACTTGTTCATACACAATGGTTTAATACGGGATACTCTAGTTCAGGGTTCTTAATCCATTTTGAAATGAACCGGCCACGGGTAGACCTAACGGATAGTCGTCTTTTCAACAACAAACATGTTGGTTTATGCATACTCCATTTACGACAGTAATTGCATAATTCATTAATTGCATTACATATTGTCTTGTCTGTCCTTTTATGCCCACTCTTTCTGTATTTTCTATTAGAACTTACTATGCTATTATCTTGTAAAATCTTTTTATATATAATTAAAATATGCACTATACAAATATTTATTTTGTTTTCAGGGCGTTGATAAACATGAACTTTTAAAGGAAATTCTACCAATAATAGGAACAAATCTTCGATGGCAGCGTTTGTATACAGAATATCAAGAACAACTGAATACTTCATGAATTTCATAATTCATTTATTTCATAATTGAATCACCAAGGCAGTCCAATGTTCATTTAATATTCCAAAAATAATATATTCCTATAGGATGGAAGTCATTATTTCATAATAAAAAGTGAAAATATGTTCTTGGAGGACTTCTAGCATCACGTGCCAAATAATGTGTTAAAAAAAAAGTGTAAACTTACTTATAGTATAGCCAAATATGACTTAAAGAGTATATACCGGTTATCAGGATAGCAGGAACCAAAATGGAATTGTATATATGACAACAACTACCAAAAATAATTGATGTTTAGTATGTAATGAACAGAAAGAACTGTAAATGTTGTGAATGTGTTGTAGTTTAGTTATTTTCGATCAAAAAAAAATTTTTTGGAACAGATGAGAATTAACTGTTTAAATCATTATATGTTGTATAAAAGTCCTACGCATATGTGCTCTGAAATGAAATCTGGCGATACTTATCAGAATTTGTATTCATTCTTACCGAATTCTTCCCATTCAATATCTCCCACATAATGCACACATAGAAATGATCCCCTCTAGCAAAATTAGGCTTGGAATTATTATGAATTTGGAATGAAAGACACTAAGGTCATGTTTTGTCAAAGGTTGACATCAAATTTCAAGGCACTCCATTTATCTCATCATGTTGTTAAAAGGAATGTATGATTATCCAGTATCATTTATGATTGTCAATAACATTTATTAGGGTTGTGTACTTGATAAATGAGCCTATGCATTCGTTAAACTTTTGAAGTGACATGGGATTATCTGAGAAACAGATATGACCTAATATCACAAAGTTTAACCTTATTTATTGACACACAATATGGAAGAAGTTTATAATAAATGTGTACTGATTGTTCATTAGTTTAATAGTTTTGACAAAATTTGGATTTATTTTCCAGAACATTAGTGTCCCTAAAAATAATTTATAATATTTATAAACAAATGGTTCCTAGAATTTCCTCTTTCAAGAATTTATGAAATACTGGTTGTTTCTGAAATGTGCATAGTTGAAAATTGGAACATAATAGATTCCATGTGTAACCCCAAACTGGTCCGGTAGATGTAATTTATCCAGATATACTTCAAAAAGCTTTATTTACTTATCTAATAATTTAAAAAAATAGTTTTAAAATTAAATTCGCAGAAGATAAAAAGTTGATATTGTGAGCTAATAAACTCGCCCTGATGTCATCCCTATCAGTGATATTGGTAGACAAGCGAATATTTACTGCTGAACAGTTTGGTGTAACCCATGTTGTATCCATAAATTTATGGAAAATTTGGAAAATGTGTTCAGAATTAAAAGGAAGTAAAAGAACAAATGATGTACATGTATTGTTACTGATTATGTTTATCATAAACACCTCTTAATGAGTTGTAAATATAGAAAGTAGAAGCACAAATGATGTGCATGTACTTGTTACTGGTTGTGTTTATCATAAACACCTCTTCACAAGTTGTAAATATTAGAAGTGGTAGAACAAAATGATGTACATGTATTTGTTACTTGTTGTGTTTACCATAAACACCTCTTTACAAGTTTTAATTATTAGATTATTGCTGTATTTATGGTAATCACATGTTAGTTTACAACTTGTAAATGTTCTTCCAGAGTAAGTCACTACTTGCAGACATAGTTTGCAGAATAAAATACTAGAAACTTGATGGAAGCAATGCTGTTTTAGGTTGTGGACAATTATGTTAGTTAGTGAATTTGACCATTATCTCTGACAAGGATAAAAAAACCGAGGTCCTGTGTACACATTGGCGTGCACGTAAAAGATCCTTTGGCAGTTGGAATTAGGTGTAAGAGTAAGTCTTAGCCCAGTCGGAGTAGAACAGTAGGACGTTAAACCTCATTTCATTTTGACCATTATCTAACACTATTTAACAGTAATAAATTATAGATGATATTTTGAGCGTGCTATTGTGAGCAATAATAATTACGTTTAAAATAGGTAATCCTTGTATAAGTATGTGATGGATTCAGCTGGACAGTATCCATCTATTCATCTTACAGTACATCTGTGTGATATTATTTGTGAAATCAGTTAGAATATAGTGCTATTATGTAATATAGTGTGTAAATATTTTCCAGTTTGGGTAGATTTTTATCTTTTTTTGATAGTCCTTGCTATAAAAGTGCATTTGCACTTCTATTCAAACAAATGGCATTAAATAAAAGTATACACTATTTATGCATGCAATTTGTTTTATATAATTATCCATAAGAGTATTATGTTTAATGATATTCAGTATTAGGCCCGTTTTCCATGTACGCATTTTCGCTGGAGAATCCAGCGAAAAATGCCGGTCTGATGCAAATGTAATGGGACTATTTCCATGTAACCGGCAAAAACTCACACAAGAAACAATGGGCTTAAGTCTATAAATATCATAAAATTAAAGATGATTACTGGCATAGACTGCAATATAGAATAATTTGCCATCCTTCCTGTGGCAGGGTACTGATAATACTTTGCTATGCTACCGTAGTAATACTAGTCTATTAAACGACTATTATTGAATAGTTTGCTATTAACCCTTGAACCGTCAGACTTCCATGGAAGTGAAAATAACAAAAAATGTTAAATATTTTATACCACTAAATAGAGGAAATCAAGGTCTTTCCACAAATACATACATTTGTCAAATATTAATATTTTAAATATGTCACAATTATGTGATATAGCACACAAGGGGGTCGGCATATACCCAAACAGTATTATACTGAATCCATGGTTGTCTATTCTATTGGAAGGAAGAATCCTATTGATTTTCAATGACTTTCGATTGTAAGTTATTCTCTGTTGTTGCAAAACCTTGTCTTCCCTTTAAAGAAACCAATTATGATCAGATCTCTTCAGATGACATGGCTGCTGGTGGTTGGTTTGGCAACCTATGTTTGGACAATTTTAAGTGTAACATGAAAGTATTTTAAATAAGCTTCGACAAGGAGTGGATGTGAGCACAATGTATAACATTAATATAACAACTTTATTTACAGACACAAGACAGGGCACAAGTTTATGAGGATAAAATACAACATTCACAATTGTCTTTGCACACAGTTGCAATACTGAAGTTCCAGTTATATTGTACTTGTTCAACCATATATTCTGTATTAGTATCCAATCACAATATTTTCTCCCACAGCCCACTGTCAGTCAGCCAAATATTAAAGTTCAAATTTTGCATGTAAAAGATAGAATTTGCATTGGTCTCCTGAAAAATTCAAGACTTGACAGATCTTAAAAATTTCTTCTTCGTTTTCTTGATTTTATGTAGATTTCTAATCTGAAAAATAAGCAAGACAAAACATAAATTCTTTGAATAACACATTTTATAACAATAACTACCTGGTACAAATTTGGCAATGTCAGTTAATAAACTTATTAAAGTGGTGGGGGGGAGGTAGAGTGGTTTAATGCATAAGGTCTGTCATTAAGTTAAGTGCCGTGGTTTCGATCCCAAGCTTGTGCGTAACAAACCTCAAACTATGCGAGTGGCGATCAGACTTTAGCATTGTACATAATTTACAAATCAATCTAAAGAACAACTTACTGGTGTAACAATTTCATTTTTCTTTTCATTTTCTAATTTTCTTTGCTTTTTTTCTTTTGCTTTGTGTCTCCTTGCCTGTAAAATTACTAAATCAGTTAAAACATAATAAAATGGTTTGAAATTACCAGCTTGACTGTTCATTGCACAGATATGACCTTTTTGTTTAGGCATACATGTAAATATTTTACAGCCCTAGCCCAAGTTGTCTGAATTTTGGCTTCATTTTATTTAGGAAATCTCATTGAATCCATTACAATGACGTTTTACTCATGGGAAGTGGCAAGATTTATCCTAGACAATGTATTTACATGTACCTGAAATAACACAAACACAATTTATGGATAACAATCACTAGCAACTTTAATAGCTTGATAATGACAAGAGGATACTTGTTGAAATGTTGCACTATTAAAGTTGCTGGTGATTGTTATCCATAAAGTTGTGTTTGTGTTATTTTAATGTTCTCATATCATTAAATGCCTTACAAAGAATATATTTACCTGGAGTCGCTCAATTCTTTCATTTTTCAATCTGTTTTCAAATTCTTTAACAGATTTTAATTCTGCCTTTTTGTCTATTTTTTCTTTGAAGCTGGTCTTTAAATCCTTTCCAAGTCTTAATTGGGTATGACTTAAATAATAAAACAACAAACATCTCTACATTTATATAAAATTAAGAGCTGAAGGGTACCAAAAAGTATGTGGTACCAAACTTGCATAGTAGGCTTAATTTATATAGAAGCAATTTATGGACTTGTGTGGTAATTAGCCATTGCCATAAATTAAGGTTCAATTGTTGACTGAATATTATATTTCTTGGTGATCCATAAATAGTTTTGCTAGTAAAACAATTGCTCCTAGTGGTCTTGCAATATAAAATAATTTGGTCCAACTTGTCTATTTGTTGGCGATTCAAGGGTGAACAGGGAACATACATGTAATACAGATTATTCAAAGAGAGAAGCCAAATGACAGACAATTAGTAAACTGATCCGACTTCTTTGGATATATTTCCCACCCCCTACTTATTTTTCAACCTGTCGCATGTCCTTAAAAAACAGATCATAGCAGATAAGGTATTGGAATAGAAAGCAGATAAAAAAAATCACTTTCAATCTCTGTCCATTACAATCAAAATGATCTATGATTATTATAATTTAAAGACACTCTTTGCCTTTCTTCAAATCACAAAATTCATCATTATCTATCATCTTACTATACTTGGATGGGGGGGCTGTGTGCATTGTATCATAAGGTCTAGCTGTCATTGAGTCAACTGGCGTGGTTTCCATTCCCCGGTATGTGACAAGGAGCATCAGTCTGATCACTTGGGTTGTCTCCGGGTCTTCCAGTTTCCTACCACTGCTTAAGACCCCTATGCGCAAGAGATTTATTGAAATAAAATTGAACCATATATTTGTCCCGAAATGACCTAGTTAACGTTTGTGTCGAGTGGACGTTAATCTCCATTTCTTTCTTTCTGTTACTACAGTATACTAATAATAATTACTAACTAGTACTAAATATAAACTATAGAGGTATGCATACTATATCATGTCATGATACTAGCTATAACTTACCTTGCCTTTCTTGTATCTTTCCATGCCTTGCCAGATTTGGGTCTTCCATGTGGTACATTATTCAACATTTCCTGTACTTGTTTGTTTCTCCTAGCTATTCTTTCATCCATATTTTAATTGTAATGAAATATGTTTCCGATTCTGTAAAAATGTAAATAAACAAGACCACGTGTTGTTAATACAGGATATTGTAGTAGGCTGCAGTTATAAAACAACCCCCCCCCCCCCAAAAAAAAAACCCCAAAAAAAACAAACTAATTCTCGCTGGGTAGATTATTAATCGGAAATCAGCATCTACGCGTTGAATATTACTTTACACTTAATTAATTCTGAACATATAAATAATAATATTGTCGAACACGTGTTCATTTCAAGACCGATTAAGGTCGAAATTCACATGCAGCAAACCTACAATTCGCCTTGTCTACTTCCGGCGGAGCGAATTTGAGGAGTTGAGGAGTTGAGACTAAAACAAACATGTACTACGTAGTGTAGGTAAATGGAATTTGAAAGGAAAAAATTACCTGTTTTAAATGTTATTCCAGTCATCCAGTGGCAGTAGACCACCAAAAAAGAATCCGTTTTTGAAAATTCTAAACACTCCAAAGAATCTACTGATAACTTAATTGATCCTTAAAATACACAATACAGTGAGCGACGCTAAGCTAAAGTAAAAGTAGTTCAGCTCTGAACGTAGGCCGGTAAGGAGACCTACGTTCAGAGCTGAACTAAAGTAAAAGTAGCTAAATCCATAATCATCGACAAACACATATTCCTTCCCCCGTACAAGCTGGGTGATTTGATGATATATTTGGACTAAGCAAATATTCAAACTAATTAATCTTATCAAAATTTTGATTCAAATCCCTCTCAAAACATTGTTGTATTCCCATGGAAATACCCTAAGCTATAAAACATCTATTATTAAAATAAGTCATTTTGTGTCACATGGCTTGGCTGTCGCGGTACCTATCAACGGGTGCGAAGACAGAGAAGAATTCATTGCATATAAAAGACAATGTTGTCTTTGATTGCTGTCCATTTATCATAAATATACCGAAGCCTGAGTAAATTCTTGGATTATCCCCTGCCCACATCTTTTTCCCTGGCTTTTATTTCGGAAACTGTTATACGTTTCAGTCACTCACTTTTTCCACGTCCGCTCACCATCAAGATTATCAACATATACATGTACATCAAGTGCTACCTAACGCCAGCACGTACAAACTTTGACGTCACTCGAGCAGTCAGCCCTTAATCGTCAGGCTCCCTCTCATTTTTGTCCTGTCCTGGGTGTTTTTCAAGGAATCCATTATTTTTCTAGTAAGATTGGGTGTCTCTACTTTCCATATATACTAAAATTGCCATACTTTTATTGGAAATAACCACCAGATAAATACTTTTGTGGGAAAATATCATAAATATTGATTCATTTCAATCAATATTGATGTTGTTATCTTAGTTTTAATATATGGGCTCTTGGTATCCAATATTTAAGACACATAATGCATGATTTAAAGTCAGTCTGCGACATATTTATATTAATAGAGTTCCATTTGTAATGTAATAAGGCCCTTAGACTTAATCCGGAGATGTTTTGTTTTATCCTCAACTAAATCCCTTTGCGACCCTGCATAAAAACATTCAGTATATCCCCCACCTGTTCTAAATAACATTTCTCTATATATTACACTAATTACTATTGATAGCCAATATATAAGGTACATGTAATGTAGTACCTGTTTGTTCCTGATGTAGACTGTGTCTATACAATCAGTTATATCTCAACAATGGCTTTATGGATGTAAAATAAATGACCATATAAAATCCAATTTTATTTCATCCCAGATCAAAGTAGGTGTGACATTTTGAGCCAATATATGTATTTGAAAACATGCTATAAATGTAACTTGAAACTATTGTTTTTATTTTATTAGGATGTAAACATGGATTTAGTTTACAAGGGACAAGAACAACATTGGTTAACTAGAAATTTGAAAAAAGATGATAAAGATCATTATCTGTGTCCTCTGTGTCCAGCTGCTGGAAACAAGAAGCTTTCCATATTTAAACCAACACCTTTAGTTCAGCATGTTATAACACATTTTGAAACTTACCATCTTCGAAACAGAGTAGATCATAAAGGTAGATAGATTATAGTCTTATTTCATCATCTGAAAGAAAATAAAAATTCTGGATAAAAATAAAATGGGGTTTAGCATCTACTTTTCTGCTCTGAATGGGCTAATGAAGATGGGCATACTCCATACAGTGTGTTATGAGGGAAATTTTGGCAAGACAGCTAGACTACTGCCTATTCTTATTTCGAATTCCAATTGTCAACAGGTACACATGATCTCGGTTTTCCGTACCACCCAATTGACTACACTGTTCTCTGTCCACCACTGAAAACAGCAAACCATGCTGCAAAATTATTATTAACTTTCTCGCCCAACACCGGAAACGAGCACAGGACCTCTTGGTTGGCAAGTGAGCTCTCACTCACTGAGCCGCGTAGGCTCCCAAAATACTGTATAAAATGTGCACATTTAATCTTTATTCAACCATATTTTAATTTTGATTATATTTCTACTTTTGGAGAACTAAGGCCTTTTGCATATCTCCTTAAATAATTTTAAGTGTATTTGTTGCAACTGTTTTCATTATCTGAATAAGGAATAGAATTAGATGGACCATCTGCATTGTGTCTTTCTACTAATGGACAATTCATAGTATTAGCCGAATAGTAGCCTCGATAGTTATAATCTAAAAATATGGTGGACAGGATTGATACAATATGCCGGATTACACAGCATGTCGGAATACTCAATTGCCTCAATCGATGTCGTAATTTGGAATATTCAGAATCCGGACTACTCAAAACTTTTTTCGTTGAAGTAATAAGGAAAAAAATCGGGACATGAAAATGATGACGGATTTCACAGAATGCGGTAGTCTACCGCAGTGCTATTATGGACTGCTAACACCTCTATTAAAGGAACTCTGAAGTCTGAATCCTGATCTCCTGCTTAAAGAGCACACACACCTGCTAGTTATAAATTACTGGTTGAGAGTGTTTAATATTAGTTTTCAAGTTGATAAGAAATATATTTTCAGTCAAGAAACAAAGAAATAATTTGTCACATGAAATTTTTATATTTTAATGCATTGTTCATTCCAGAACTTGTTTTTCTACCATGTTATTTGGATTGTGTCAAAGGACGAATAAATTATTGCTCTGTCTTTCATTACCACTGTTCTTGTGGCCATGTCTTCACTCCAAAAAACAAAATGATTTCCCACTTAAAAATTTGTCGTGACCATAGAACTGCTGATGAAATAGAATATGGAGTTGAAATTGAAATAAATCCTGTTTCTAGAGGAGAATTACCTGATGACAGTCAGAAGTCAATAACGTTTGAGGTTAGTTGGCTTCTATGGCTATTTTTAAATTTAATTGAAAGCTAAATAGTAGTGGCATGTGTCATGCATTAGGCCAGGTATGCTTACCCTTTTCAAGCCACCAGGCACTATTTAAAGTGTTTGCATTTTCACATTTGACCATCCATTTTTATACACCCACATTTTCATGTGGACGTATATTGTCGTTGCCCCTTTGATCCGATTTTGACAAAACTTGAAATATAGGCTTATCTCCAAAAGATCTCGGATCCTGTCGATATGGGCATGTATCAGACTGTAACTTCACGGATTATGGCCCATGATTGCGAAAATCACGTTTTTAGCTTGTGGACACTCTATAGGTCACAATTGTTATCTGATTTTCCTGGATTATGGCCTCTGGTTGTACAAAAAATCCAATTTTTTTTTTATCGCGTTCTCAGTCCATCTTTTAAATTTTTCTGTCAAAGTTTAAGACCAGTTAATTTAAAATCCCCTTGAGAAATATTGGTTCAGCTGTGTAATTAATAATCAATTAAAGTGAACTAACAATGTGTTTTTTGGGGTTTTTTTGGCAGGATATAAATGTAAAGATTGGTGAAGAAAATAAATGGTTCGATAAAAATGTAAGAAGATGGAAAGACAAATACCAATGTCCTTTATGCCCTGCCTATAAAATTGGACTCAAATCTCTGAAACTGATTAAAATGCATTGGAGACAGGTTCATTTACATCATGTCATTAAAGGACAAGGTGTGGAGGTTATTTGATTGTTGATTTCACGTTTCTACTTTCTCAAGCTGGAAAGTATAAAACTAGAAAAACAGCTGTTGATTTAGGGAGTGCCGCAAAATTTCAGCACTTGCATCCAAACTAATTACCTGTGGATAAATCTTGACTCACCTGTCAATCTGCACTGAGAGGGTAATAAAATGTTGACATGTTTCCGTTTCGATTCCATTGACTCATTACTTGCTTGGGCAAACCACTGGCTGGTAGTGGAGACTCTGAGACATGAGATCAAAGTTCACCGAGTCAGTTAACAGGCACAGATTGATTATCATTTTCTGTCCACAGTGTGATTTGCAGACTTAATTAGCAAATTAAGAAGCCAGCTTTGACACGGTGAGGGAACCTATCAGTCACTATTTGTAAACAGAGAACAACAAAGTTTCTTGTTTTTCATACAAACATATGTTTATGGGTATTATACATCTATTATCAGCACAAGGTAATGATGTAATGAAACTGTACACCAAGATTTATCACTCTCAATTAGAAAGTAGAGTTAATGTGTTCTAAAGTCTTGGTCAATCAAATTTCTCAACTCTGCTTAGCCTAAGCATAAAATGCATATTGAAGTGGGTTGAGATAGCAACATAATGAACATCTACATAAAGTCTCAATCAGAAGGAGAGTTATTGTGTCCCAAATGTGTGATGGATGGACAAACTGATTATAATAGTGCCCTGCTATCTTCAAAAGATGGGGGAAAATCAGAATGACATGACACAAATTTCTGATTTTTTTAAAATTTTATTTCAGGTCTGTGTTTTTTGCCTTGTTTCTTTAGATGCATATGTAACCCTTCATTTATGGCTAAGGCTCACTACCATTGTAGCTGTGGTCTTATAAAAGAAGGAAAGATTAATTTTTTAAGCCACCTGAGATGTGGAGAAGGTCATGAGGATGATGTTGACGACATGGAAGAAAAGGATACTTTCGAAGGGCTGGAATGGAGCGTAAGTTGAATAGCTCTGTGTCCTTCCCTAAATGGGGTATTGTGACATAGAGATCTAACGTGCATGTGCATGATTTCTATGCAAGTTAGGAATTTGAATGGTTGTCTACCAAAACCTGGTGTGTTTTCTCCAGATTTCTTTCATTCTGCACTAGCTAATTATGAAATTGAAATATACCACATTATAGTCTTGAAATGGTCTGGACCCAGTTTCAGAAAATGTTAAGAACTTAAGTCTGAGAATCAACACGATAAGTGTTGAGATGTTTGGATGGAAAGCTGAGGTTCTGGGTAAACATTGTCACTAGCATTGTAGTCCTTATTTGGAGAGAGAGAGAGAGAAGTGGGATTTAACGGCCACTGACACAAACTAGGTCATTTTGGGACAGTTTTGATCTGATTTTGATGAAACTGTAAATTTATGTTTATATCATAAAGATTTTGGTTCCTTACGATAATTGAGCATATCCGAACGTAACTTCCTGGATTATGGCCCCTGATTGTTCGAAAAATACAATCACATTTTTAGCTTGTGGATCCTCGATGAAATTCGAAATGTATGATTATAATCCAAAGATCTTGGTTCTTTTCTATATTTGCGCACATTGGACCATTACTTCCTGGATTATTGCTCCTGATTGTACGAAAAATCATGTTTTTACTTGTGGACTCTCTAGAGGTCACAATTTTTATCAGATTTTATAAAATGTTTAAATGTATCACTGTTACACCCTAATGACAGTTAAGTTTGAATTTCCTGAAAATTGGACCGAAACTGCCTGACAAAATAGCCGCTCCTTGTATGCAAATATCAGATTTTGATGAAACTTAAAATATATTTTTATGTCCCAGATATCCCAATCCCTTCGATATTCACGCATTTCAGACCATAACTTCCTGGATTATGACCCCTGATTGCAAAATGTGGCTGTATCTTGCCTGCTGGCAATCACTGGTTGTTAATACATGTACACAGTAGACTGGAGAATATTAAGATGTTAACGTATTAAACAATTAATATTTTGATTATTGTTAATTGTCCCCAATTTGGGCTAGTTTCCCAAAATTGCACATTTGCAATAGCTTTGACCAATAAGGACAATTATTTTGAAAACCGAGCCTTTGTCAAATTTATATAATGGTAAACCTTGAATCAATTTTTAACTGATTATTTTTTCTAATTGGATGTGAAGCATTGAGACAATGAGACAACGAACCTAGTTGATTTTCCAGTCTTCGTCCATTGCTTACAAAATGTGGGCGTATCTTGCATGGCAACCTCTTGTTAACAGATTTGTTTCAAATTAGATGTGAAGCATTGGAACAATGAGTTTATCAATTTTACTGTTCTCCGTTCAATTCTTTCATGGAAACTGATAACTCACTTGATTACTAATGTACAAGCATTTCCATGTTTTTTAAATTTATTTTATTTAGGATGTTAATATACCTGAAGGAAAGGAAGTGGACTGGTTAAAAGAAAATGCAGTTAAAACAGTAGCTCAATCTTTGTTTGTCTGTGCTTTATGTGCATCAAAGACGTTTGAACCCTGTACTAATACACAGCTTAGGATGCACTGGAAAAGAAAACATGTAAAGCTTAAAGTTGCACATAGAGGTATAATATTATTGCTAAATATATATGCAGTAGTGTGCTGTTTCATACATTTTCATACAACTACGTGTTAAAGGAGCTAAATCGCTAATATTTTGTACCTAGAAATTGACACAAATGGGTTACAACGCATATAATAATGTAATATGAATGTATATAAACTAATTTACATTCAATCGTTTCTGTTTTTACTGTAATTTCTAATCAGTTATGTTCGGAGAAATACATCAGAAGTCTCATTCAAATGGCAATCTCTAGCGTCTGGTTATTCCAGTCTACACCGATAGTATTTATAGGGCATGCTCTCCAGATAAGAACATAGCGTCACCATCTGACATGACTTGTGGAATATATCTAGCCCCGTTTTTCGAGTCTCTTGTAACAAATGGTGCTGAAACGCATTATGTACACGATTCATATACTAATGGTGACATGTTTATTTTGTCTTAATTATTGGATATCAGAAGCCCATCTTTTTCCCAGTAAGATCACAACATCAGTGTTCTGTTCTCTGATTAAGTTTTGAATGCTTGTGAAACAGAACAACATTCTCAATGGTGGTATTGCCCTTCTGGGCTAAAGAAATAACCATGTCAATCATAAATTGCAGAGTTATCTCCCCGTTCTGTTATCGGATGAAGCTTGGAAACTCTTGTGAGATTGCTCATTGTGCCATGAGAAAGAATCCGATCAAATTTCAAAATTTTCAGACTGAACATTTAGAATGTGTTTTGTTTTTGTTGGATTATATATTTCAAACATGATTGTGAACACAAGTAAAAATTTGCGATAGAACTCTTTAAACCTATATGGAATTGATCATACGGACAGAAGGATAAATCTTGGGTTTTTAATCAAAGTTATGAAACAGATTTATCACAAATTACTTTTCTGATTGTGAAATGGTGGGCATATTGGGAAACTGACAAGTGTTCCTATCTATGTTTTCGTCATGAAATGAATAACTCCCCAATTTTTAATGCATATTTTTGTTTGTTTTAGGTATAGCATACATGCCCTGTTATTTTCCTTGCTGTATACAATGGGAACACAGAGCACAATATCAACCGGGGAAAAAAGCACATTATCATTGCAGCTGTGGTAAATTTATTTTCCGTAAGCCAAAGATGAAAACTCATTTAGAATTCGGCGAAGAACATCAGCCAGGTTATAAACTAAAATCTGAAAACATTGATCATGTGTATAACAAACCTGTTGAACAGGAAGATAAACTCAAACCTGATAAACAGGTAGATAAACTCAAACCTGATAAACAGAAAGAAAAAACAAAACCCAAACCTGATAAGCAGAAAGAAAGGCCTGAAGCTAAATCGGTTCAAACACATACTTTTGTAGATTGTGGTACTTGTCCAGGATGTTTTGCAGATTTCGCTAAGAGTTACCTCTCCAGACACTTAAAGAGTTGTAAGAAATACCAGAGTGATCTCGCCAGTGGACTTACTTGTAGTATTAAGTTAAATAAAGCAGCAAATATTAAAAAGATTGTTAAGATAAGGACAATGAGAGCAAAACAAATAAACATGCCCTCAAAAGTTAACAACAGATAATTAATCTGTTGAGGAACATAGTGAAATAATGGAGGATATTTTGATGACTATTTATGACGACTCCCCGCCCAAAAATCCTGTCGTGCAAAACCACCATCATCTAAATAGTTTCTCTGCACCAAATCTATCTTGATAGCACAAACATGTTAAAGGTTTATTGAAAATGCAGTACAGTTTTTCTTAAGTGATGTACAATACAGTTTACTAGCACACTGTGTTTCTACATTAAATGGTTCTGTTTGTGTTAAAATAGGATCATAAAACCTTGCAAGGGAAGAATTAGAAGGGTTTATGTACCGTTGCATTTTAACATGAATATACGATGTTTTGTATGTATAAAAATCAGTTTTGATTACACATATCTTTGCCTTATTTGGATGACTAATTCTAAAATTAATTGTGGAGGCACGATGGCTCAGTAAGTAGGCAATAGAATACTAACCCAGCGGTACTGGGTTAGATCTTGTTGTTTGCTGAGGAAGTTTCCACAGTGGTTTTCCCCATGTCAGTGGTGCAGGACAGGAAAGCCTTCGTTCAGATTTGGCATACTAGTTTAATGGATGTATCAAGTATTTGATATACACATATACATGTATTTCTTTACAACCATAAAATCCCATGCAAGCAATACAAAAGTTGATGGGACTCTTGACATGGTAAGGAGGGAGGCTGGCCGGAAAAGATTTATGATTTTGTAATTCTAGTAATACTCGAATAAATATATTGTAGCATTCAATATATGCTTGTAACATTATGGTAATACTCGCCATACTAATGGAAGATATAGTTATATGAGTGATGCACTATTCATAATTGATTACATAATGTAATAGCGAGAAGAAGAATTTTAGATAATGGATACAGTAAAAAAGTTGTAAAGAGAGTTATTATCAAGTCTATAGCAAAGATTTCCTGTTTGAAGTAATCCTCTATGTTAGACATATACCGATGTCCAAAAGAAAGTATACACACTAAAAGAGTGACTAAGTTTTGTTTAGATTAAAAACATTTGATAAAGCATTACTGAGATTGTCTCTTGCGTCCAAACTCAACATTTCTAAGCAAACTAAAAATGTGAAACAAATTGACATTCTACCCAAATACCGTATTCCATGGAAAAACGACTTTGGTTGATGCAGCACAAAATGCACAGTGTATACTTTCTTTTGGACATTAGTATAGCTAGACCTATTTCATTCCAAGAATTAGCTACTGTCAGAGGCGTCAATCAGTTGGGAAGACAGGGGTACAAGTTCTGTCCCCCCTGTCCGTCCACAATTTGTTTGTGGACACTGTGCAGGTCACAATTTTTATCTGATTTTGACGAAATTTGAAATGTCTATCTCCTTTTGATATTGGCATGACATCGGACCATTACTTCATGGATTATGGCCCCTGATTGTACAAAAAATCATGTTTTTAGCTTGTGGACACTCTAGCTAGAGGTCACAATTTTGATCCGATTTTGTTGAAACTTGAAATGTATGGTTATAAGCCCAAAGATCTTGGTTCCCTTCGATATTCACGCATATCAGACTTTTAACTTTCTGAATTATGAAAAATCATGTTTTTAGCTGGTGGGTTCTCCTCCCCCGGGCCTTAAAATCTTTTGAGAAATATCCCCCAAACCCCTCTCTGGATCCACCCCAGGGTTCCTAACAGGGGCCGCTAAGAGGGAGGGGGGAATTGTTTCCAAGTCACAGAAAGTCGCGAAAGTTAAATGTAAAACAAAACGTCAAAAGTAATGTGTCAAATGCCGTATTGGAAAAGGTGTTTTTGACGTATCTTTGATATTATGCAAATCTAGAATATCACGTGACTTATTAACATACACGGAAACAACGCCGAAATCAACCTGTCACACTATAATTTAAAGCCAGCACACACACTGATCAGCAGTGAATATTCGCTAGGCCGCGAAAATCACTGATAAGGATGACATCGATGCCACTTAATGAGCCACAAATATTAACTTTTTTCCTCCAACAAATTAAATTCTAAAACATTTTTTTTTATGTTTTATAAAAATAAATAGGTAAAAATTATTTACTATTTAGTGTAAATGGGTATTAAAATGAGTAAAAGGCTCCATTCCGCCCGAATGCCGCGTGATGAGATGTCACGAGTTGAAGGTTTTCATCTTTTACAGAGATATTAGAAGACTTTCGTAAACCTCTATGAAACAGATTGGCCAGCCACTATAAAGATATTCACCACACGTCAAGAGGAAATAAACCTGGCACACTATAAGAAATTTACTTAACCTAGACAAACGATCAAATTTGGATGGTACTATGGTTACAAGACGGGAGGTGGGGTATGCAAAATCAAAATACGGGTCATACGGGTCTTAATACGGAATTCCAGATATCATGTAGTAGTTAAAGTAGCTAAGTCTCTAACTCAATATCATCCAAAGTCATACACGTTGAAAATACGAATTATTTGTCAATTCAAATCAACATTGATGTTGTGATCTTTAATACCAGGAAAATACAGGCTTCTGATATCCTATGTTTAAGACAGAATAAACATTTTACCACTGGTACACGAATCGTGTACCATAGTGCGTTTTAGCGTCATTTGCAACAAGTGACCAGAAAGAACGAGGCTACACATATTCAACTGGAGAACCTGCTAAATAGACTGGAATAACCAGATGCTAGAAATTGCTATAGGGTTGAGATACCGGCCGTATTCCGCTGGACATAACTGATTTGAAATTAAGAGTCAAAACGGAAACAATTGAATGTAAATCAGTTTATATACAATCAGATTACATTATTAGATGTGTTGCGACCCATTTGGGTCAATTTCTAGGTCCCAAACATTAGCGATTTAGCTCCTTTAATATCAATGAAAGCCTGTTCATTTCTCTTTGGCACATTTGTATTTTCATAAACTGAGAAAAGATCATTTGGATGGTACTAACCTCTTTAAGTGAGTGTGGGGCGGGATCAATGTTAAAATATGGGTCTTCATACGAAATTTCAAATATGTTAAATAACATATCTTGAGAAAACGTCGGGTGGTAAGAAACGTATCACTGAAAAGCACGTTTATTGCTCTTTTCATGTATGCAAATAATGTTCTGACAAATTCATATTTTCATTAACTTGAAAATAAAGAGAGGGAGAGAGAGGGGGGTGGGGGCGATGGCGAGTATTTAAAATGTCAAAATACGGGTCTTAAATTTCCAGTTATCCTGTTATACATCACTGGAAAGTATGTTTCTGTGGTTCTTTGAATCTATCAGTTATTTCCTGGCACATTCATGATTACGCAGAAGAGAAAGGAAAATCCTCGTTGTTTTGTCGAACGAAATGTGTCACTGTGCATACCAATCACGAGATTTTGTTCCGGTCACAGTCGTCCACCGGATTTTTTTGGCTGTGCGAGCTTGATTTCCTTATAGTATGCTGGCTTACAGTATCCCAGCTTAATCTCCGCGACGTTTCCGTAGATGTTAATAAGTCACTCAAAATTAAAAAAAATCACATCAAAATTTCCCAAAAAACTTGGGGCCCTAGTAAAGCGGGCCGCAAACCCCACACCAGAAGATTCTGGCGTCTGCAGCAACACGCTCTCGCGTCGCAGGGCGACGCTTCATTTTTGGGACTTCGTCACCTCAATTGTCAGACCCCCCCACTTCGGAAACCGCTCTGCGGCCTCTGCCATGGTCGCACGTCATTTCGGTCCCGCACCCCACTCCCACAAAAAAACAACAAAAAACCTGAAACTTAAAAAACAAATTAAAGTTTGGAATTTTCTAGAGTCCCATTCCATATCCATTCTTTATGTTTTTTGCTATTCTCTGATTCAATATTTATTAAGGGCTACACAATTTTTATTCCGTTGCATACGTCATAAACTTTCCATGGAAACAAAATTGTTTTTGCTTTTTGTCTTTGGTACCCGGAATATATTTTTTTATTCTGGGGTATATTTCTCATACATAAACCCTTCAAAATATCTGAATGAGGTTTTGTACACACATCAATAATATTATTTATATATACAGTAGTTGTCTCTTGTAGTAATTTTCTGTTTCCCTGGAAACAGAGTTGGCGCGAGATTTTGATGGCTCACTGAGACTTGTTGACTTCGTTCATAATGGGACAAACTGACGTTAAATTTCTGTTGCCACAAAGTGCCAAACTGATAACATCCGGGTACGCCATCTTGGTCGCCATTTTGAATTAGAAGAAAATTGAAATGGACTTGTTGGCAAATTACTCCGACGAAAATTCGAAGCAGTCTCCAAATCCAGTTGCTCCAATAATTAATAAGGTAACATTGTTTTCAAAAATATTGCGACTTTGTTTCAATATAAGTTATGTGGGATAAAATTAGATAATTTAACCGTTTTTTTTGTTTCACCTTCCTGGCTTCTTTACCAGTTAGTCGTAGAAAAACTGGTCATAACTGGCCTAGATATTGATATTCAAATGGGATAGACCAAAATAGATATGTTGGCCAAATAGACATCGTCTATCATTATGGTTAACATTCCAAAGGGCATAAACTCACTCTGAATTTGATTCCGATTATAAAAGAATAACATAAAAACGTATTAATGTAGGGCCAGGGGTTTCAGGTCAGTATTTTACTATTTAAAATAACAAAAAAATTAATATTTCAAATATTTTGTGAAAAAATTTTTATTTCATCAAAATATTCTAATAATTAGATCCAAAGTTTTAAGTTATAGAATTTTACAATCCGAGATCGACCTAATATGGATGTACCGTAATTAAAATGCTCATTTGGTCTGTAACTACTAACAGTCAATGCGTGCTATCATCATGACACCAAAATCAGTCCATTTCAGTCATATCTGATTGACATCATAAGTAGTATTTACCCTTCAGAATAGCTTGTAACAATTTTAAAATTAAAACTGAAATCTGCGTGTTGTAGCCAGCTAAAATTGATAAAAATCGTGATAGTTTGAATGGGATGTCAGCTGTATCAAATATTTATAATCGGGATGATACCAGATACAAAACAGTCTACATTTAGTCGCAATCTAGTAAATTTCAGTCAACAAAACAGTTAGATCCTGTTTTTTTTTACGGCAGTAATTATCGTATCACGCACCACACAATAAAATAATCATTATAATTTGTTTGGCTTCTAGTTCTGCCCATGCTAACTAACGTTTAGTTCCATATACAAAACATTTAATACATGTATCATGGATTTAGCTGTTATCAAAAATATTGAAAATCAGTATCCTTGTTCATCTCAAGACCTTTAACTCTGTGTATTAGTGTAATTGCTTAATACAAATCGAGACAACGTAATCGCAGTTTTAAAAGACATTAGATTTTTGCAATATGGAAATTGTATAATGAGGAAGCCATAAGTAAAAGTCAACTCCTGAAGAAATATAGTCCGAGTAACAAATATAAATATTGGTCCGAGTGGTCTTTTTTTTTGGTCCAAGTGGTCTGGGTACCCAAATGATCACTTTGTTCTGTAGAGCATCTGCAAGAGTTTTCGAGGTAATCCAAGACAACTACAACACCGGCAGTAATTTTCGAAAATATAGGTGTCTTCTTCTCATGACTGAACACTGTGTAAAAATTTAAAATCAATCGGATGATAACTTTAGTCAATAGAGAATCAACAAGATTTTTCAAAGTGATCAAAGGCCGTAACTTAAAAGTCAATCAGATGTTAACTTTGGCCTTTAGAGTGCCTACAAGATATATCAAAGTGATCAAGAGTCATAACTCTGGCAGAATTATTGAAAAGTCAATCGTATTTTAACTTTAACCTCCAGAGCATCCACAAGATATTTCAAATTAATCAAGGGCCATAGTAATTATCGGAAATCGTTGAAAATCAATATGCTTTGTAAATCGGCACTGGAACGACAGACAGGGGCGACAGCAATATTATCTAGCGTTTGATTGTCTCTATGTTAGAATCCCCCGAAAACTAAGCTGGGGATTTACCATTGAAGTGAGTCGTAACAAATCAGGTGGTATTAACCGTGAGTGTCTCCCGTACATAAACAGTAATTTCACTTACATTTCAATAATTCTTGAGCCTGAATCTTTGCAGATATTGAGATTGATATTACAGTACACTTGCTGGTAATACATTTAAATGAAATAGTAATTCAAAATCGTAAATTTCACGCTAAAGTCAAAAGGACCTGAAGCCCCTATAAATTGTATTTAATCTTTGTTTTAAAAGTTTATTAATTCTGTTTTACCCGATCAGCACATACAATACATGCATGTATTGAAAGGAGGATATACTGAAAAAGTTCCATTATAATTTATTTAGAACCAGATTCTTGTCTCAGATCACCGGAAATGTCATTTCCAGGTTCTAGTTTTCGAAAAAAAAATTCGGGGGGATGGTCTTCCAGTATGTAAAACCCTTCTCCCTCCTTTTGCATTCAACCCGTGTTAAGCGTATTCCATTTGTTGTCAAATCACGTAGAATCCAAGATTACTTCTAGACATTTCATCGACTTTGATGGCTTTAGTAAAATATGATCAGATTTATAGTACAGAGGGATTGTCAATTTCCTAAATTGTTTTGTAAGTTTAACATTCTATTACCAGTAATATTTCCAATATGACAGAATGGAACTTGAATGATTATGACACCATCATTATGGGTACAAGAACACGTCTATCTTTAGTATTGTAGAAATATGTTATAATTGCGTAAAAAATGTGAATGAATTAAAAAGTTTGTTAAAAATTTGTATGATTGTCATGCCCAGTATAGGTTATAATTAGATTTTTTGCTTATTTTAAATTTAACATGAAGTCAAACATGACTTGTGAACAAGTGTCAATAACCTTGCACCCGCAAGACGAAGGTAGTTCTTCACTGGTGATAGATGGGTTGTAAGTATTATTCAGATAGGTTTTCTTAAAATCCTTTACTGATTTATTTCCTTTTTGTTTTTATTATATTCTCTATAGAAAATGTATGTAAATTTATGTTTATGGTTTTATTGGGATATTTTAAGATGTCTAGTATTAGGAAGCTAAATGGTTCACTGAGCAATAAAAGCCATTTGATGTTCTTTGAATTTGCAAGCCTATACATTGTTGACAAATCCAACATATGCTAATTTGATTGTTCTCTAACACCTTAAAACATCAACATGGTGTCGTGTTTTGAGAAGAAGCTTGTTTTTTGACTCTTAACAGTAACATAAGTATCAATTTTATATATGTAGGTAAATTATGCCACAGAGTTTACAGCTTTTGAGCCCTCTGATTTTCCTTTCAGATGGATTCAAAGATGAAAGCTAAAAGTTTAGAAGAAGAATGGGCATCATTTGAAAAACTTATTGATGGTGAGAAGATGTCTGACACTGCAGAAAAGAATGGGGCAGGAACAAGTGATGGAAATGTTACGAAGAGGAAGTTTTCTGAAGGTGCTTCTGGTACATCTGAATCTTATGCATTTGAGATTCAGTCCAGCTCCAGTTCTTGTTCATCATCAAGATCAAATTCTGTTGAACCTGGTAAGTAGCTGAACTATTATTGTCCCTTGCCTTTCAAATAGAACATAGGAGCTAAATGAACAATTAATTGATATATCATTGGGTGGGGGGCCTCGTCCTCACTGTTGATATCCTCACTATACATGTACATTGACACAATTTATAAATAAAACTGTCATTTTCTTCAACTAAGGCCTAGTAGTACATGTAGACCTGACATAATTGTGTTTCATCAATCCAGACCCAAGATAATTTTTAGCAATCAATATTGTTATCATTGATACGTTTTCTAATTTCAGAAAAATTACCAGAATCGAAGAATACTGGAGATATGGAAAGTGCATCTCATCTGCCATCTCAGTTCCGTCCAAGAAAGGTATTTTATGAAGGGGTGGTACTTTAATTTCTCATCCTTTTTATCACTACCAATTATAAAAACTTCAACATGTTTTCAAATTCCTAAAAAACATATTTTGATTAAAGTTCATAACTTATTAAGGTTTAGTATATTTGAGCGCTTTAGGAAATAGTTAAGGGTTCTTTGTTGTACTTTCTGACATCATTACTTGCCTATCGATAGGTATCCTGAACATCATTGAATGCTGTAGTAATTGTTCCACACTCTTCGTTTGACAACACCAAAAGTTGTCATTATGTAAGTTTCCCCTTTCATCGTAGAGGTAAGTACAGGTCATAACGGTCTGATAACACACTTTTATAATTATTCAGAAACGATGCATAATATATGTGTTTGCGCAGATTTTTTTTATTATTTCAAATGCATTGAAAATGTTAAAATGCATGCATTGACTTCCCTTACATGCACAAAGGTTGACGGTGCTTTTGTTATTTAAGTACACTTGTATTATACTTTAGATAATGAAAACAATTATGATATTCATCAAGCTGATTAATAAAGCAGATTAATGATGCCTTTCAAAAGAAATGAAATTAATTGTTTTGAGGTTTATTCAAAAATAAAAATGAATTTCTGATCTGATCATTTGATTGCCTGTAGAATATTGAATTTGATGGCAACTAATTATTTTCTTCTTCTAATTTGTAGAATTTGTTTCAGGATAGTGGTAGAGGCAGTTCAACCTCCAGATCTCGATCCCGGTCTCACTCCCCAAGGCGATCCAAGAAATCTAAAGATAAGAGAAGTCGGTCACACTCCAGGGACAAAAGATCACGATCTAGGGATCGACACAGAGATAGAAAATCGCACAAAAAAGAGGTAATCTTTTTGTTATGTGAATTGACTTCAAGCAGACAAAAAAATGGCTTATGTGTCTGTATAAAACAAATATTCTGATTTTCAGATACTGCAACATCGGTTAAATTTTTTACTCTTTCCACAAATTAAAAACTTTTATAAGCACACATTCATAATTACGACATTAAAGATTTAATTTGGTCAATTTTGCCATTCTGGATTACATAATAACCATTGGCGTATTTTGTTTCAGAAACGTAGACACAGAAGCTCATCACGAGACAGAAAAAGCAGAAGTCACTCCAAAAAACGAAGTTCATCTAGACATCGAAGTCCACACTCCAAACACAGTCGAAGCAGATCTAAAGATCGCAAGAGAACTCGGGATAGAAAATCATCGAGGGATCGTCACAGGCATAGAAGTAAAGATAGAAGCCACAGAAGAAGGAAACACAGCAGTAAAAGCCCTAGAAGGAAAAGTAGTAGAAGTCCTAGAAGAAGAAGTAGTAGAAGTCCTAGAAGAAATAGCAGAAGCCCAAGGCGACATAAAAGTCGTTCTCCAAGACGACGCAGTAGTAGAAGTCGTAGTTACAGCCCAAGAACATTTAAAAATGTGCCTGTTGATTCATATCAAAAGAAACTGATGGGAACGCTAGCCAAGTCATCTAAGCCATTGACTTTCAGAGAAAAGATGAGACAAGATTTATTGAAAGCTAGTAAAATGTTGTCAGACCAAGCAGACAAAGGATTGTTAATGGATGGTAAGACATCAGGTATGTGACAAAACCTGTCATATACATTTTATTTGATTATAAATAAACCCTTTATTATTCATAAGAGATGATACTAAAACCAAATCACATATTAGTGAAGGCCAAATGTATAATTTGTGACGATTAATTGGCTGTGGCAGATTTCTTATACATGAATTCTAGATTTGCTTTCCTGATCACATGTTTTATATTAAAGTAAATGATACATTTTACTTTTGTAGATACTGGTAAAGACAAGTTTAGAAATCTGTCTTCCTCATCTTCTACTGAAGCTAGTAATGTAACCCCACAAATGGCCTTACTACAGACAATGGCAGCCATGCATCAAAAGGTTGGTATTTTTTCATTCCGCAAGATTTTCAAATACATGACTATGTAAGTTTCCAAAATAAATGTCAGGTTTTCTAGAAAGATTAAGCATACCCTGTCTTGTGTGCATTGCTATTTTTAGCTGAATGGAGTGATTGTTTGGAATGTTTTGAAAAGCTGAAGATAGGAGTTTAAAATGCAAACATTAAACATGCATTATGCAAGAGGTAAATCTGCCTATTGCAGGTCTTTCTTTAGACCTTAAATGTTATGTAAACTATTAGACATTAATTAACTTATCAAGGCCATAATCAACTCTCGATGCCCTTGTTAGCCTGTAATATTTAGTGGATTTGAATGTTTTGTGGTGGATGATTAAACGTAAAAATGGGTAATTGAGACTTTGTTTATTATTGTACCAGCGGTAGTAATGACGATCATGGCTAGCCTAAAATTGAATCGCTAATATCTTGGTTCAGAGTGAAGCAATTTGACTGCAATTTTCAGCATATTCTGTTTTCATTATTTATTTTTTAAATATTATAGTATAACCAGAACTGTCAATTCTTTATCTTATCTTACCTAATGACCCTTTTGTTTATTTTTAATAATTCTGATTTTAGGCTCAAGAAATGACTGGTGTAACAGTTCCCAAGTATTATAATCCAGCTGCTGTTAACCCTCTAAAATATGCTGAACAGTTTCAGAAAAGAAAATTATTATGGTCAAAGAATAAGGAAAAGAAAGAGGTCAGTAGAAAGCCGTTTAGATTTATTTATTGTACTTGATAAATGAGGCTGGAGACAGGAATTTTGAAGATTGTATAAGAACTGAGAAAACACAAATATTTGGAGTACAAATGTTAGAAAGAACCAAACCTACAGTCTGAACTGATCTTTGTATAAACTCATGATTTCAAGAGAGAGAGAAATGGGGTTTAACGTCCACTTGACACATACTTGATCATTTCGGGACTAACATGGTTTAATCTTATTTCAATAATTCACTTGCTCGTATTAGTCTTTAGCAGCAGGAGGACCTGGAGAAAATTAATGAGGTTGGAAAGGCGACCCTATTTTGGCATGAACAGTGATATTTTTTTTTTTTCGAAGTACATGTATATAACTCGGCATTATTTTGATAACATCTGTTTTGTTTCTATTTACAGGAGAAAGGTGGAGAACATTGGCAAGGTACAGCATTTCAAGCTGATAACGATGGCAAAATATCGGCTAAATTCCGTAAATTGATGGGTATGAAAGAGGATGATCCTATCACCGATGAAGCATTAACAGAAGAGCAAAAACTTAAACGAGAGGAAATATTTAATAGATTAGATAAAGACTATGAATTTGCTAGAATGTCAACACATACACACCGTGGTGTGGGATTAGGGTTCGCTTCACAGGGTATGTCAATCCCACAGTTTCCCCAACCGTGAAATTATCAAGTGCTAGTGATGTGTTATCTGTGATTTAGAATATTTTAATTTTAATACGGACAGTGTTTAACTTGAAGGACATTCTTTGATAGGGCTAGTTTCCATATTAGTTCTGTGGTCAAAGCTGGAATTATTAGTATTTATTGATTGAATGAATTTGGCATACACTTGAGGTTTCACGGTCAAGTTTTGATACATAAAACCCCACAGCTTCGCAACCAGTATCCAGTGTAGCTTTTTTGGTCGAGGATAGATGGTCAATTTATTTTACACCATAATGCCATGCACAATTTATTATTGTGGATTTCTTTGAGGCCTTGTATAACTTATTTCAGCATGGAACATGTATTTGTATTGTAAATGGTTAAAACTGGCTCAATTGTGGGGTGACTTAAAATACATAAATTTGTCTGGTTGCTTTATAACAACTTCGAAATGGCCATACAGTTTTTTTAAAACTGTTGAATGAAATCCCATGCTATATGGTAATATTGTATCTATGTGTGCATATAAAGTGGCTTGAATCAAGCTGTATAACTGATAGTCAACATGACTTTAAAAATGCTCTTAAGAAATGTGAATAATGTATAATTAATGTACATATTGATTAGTGTATAATATGATTGTTTCTAAAGTATAAAGATAATAAGTTTCTAATGTGGTTTTTATTTACAAATTAAGATGGAACAAACAGGATAAGGAAAAAAAAAATATTCCATATGGATGCGAATCAAGTTGAAGCTGTTCTATATTCAAATTTGTATTTTATTTTATTATTGGTGGGCGGGGGGAGAATCAGCTGATTAACTGAACATGAATCACAAATTTTTTAGTCAAACGTGTGCTCTGCATATCATAAGGTCTGTATGGAAGTTTTGAGTACAGTCGACCAACTAACCATACACCTTTCTCTTTTTTGGGGGGAAAAGTGCCAGTGGGGCTGAAGGTGTGTAATTTTACAGGTGGGATGGAGCAACTGATGAATGACTATACTTGACAAGATAACAGTGAAAAACTCTCAATTAGAATCAGGAGTTAAATTCTTGATGAATTAAATGGCTTATTTCTGCTTCATAAAACTGGTATTGGTCTACATGCCCATCTCCATTTTCAGTATATGTAATTAAAACATTTGGAGTCCCTGGTTTATCGGGTGTAACAGCAGTGCCAGTAGGGAAAAGTAATACCTTGACACAAAATCTGTTTAGCTTTAGGGATTTATTATATACAAAACATCTGCATACAAATGTACATCAATAATATAACTATAGAAAAAAAAACATGCAAATAACAATAATCCACAATGCTATCTTTAACATATCAGTCATCACAAACTAGAAATCAAATAAAGTTTCTGTATAGGCGAAAGTCTAAGGATATTTTGAGGGAAAAAAGGGGGATTCTCGATATATACTGCATTATTATATTATTTATAAAGTGATAAACCTGTGATTTTAAGCTTTCAATTTCATTAAGTTTATGCAAATAAGATCACGACTATCTGCAACTGTGATTTTACATGTAATTACTTCAAAAATTCCTACATTTTCTACCCATTATTATTATTATCACATAGCCTACTTTATAAACTATTATATTGGTTTGCCATCATTACCAATACTTCACTTTAAACTATATCACATTATTTAAAATAAACGCTTTCAACCTAATCCTTGCAACTAGAACCCCTAAAACTAATTAATAGCTACTTTGCATATAAACAAAATTATTATTAAATATAACTAAATTATTAAATATAACTATCACAAAAAAATTCATAGATCAATATGTAGTTGTATAACATTTATACAATTACTATCTTTGCCATTAACCTAATAGCAAATAAATAAGTTGTCTCCCCTTATACATTTATAAGATTCCAGACTAAAGTTATACATTGAACAATTTTCATTGGGCAACATAAGTTAAGCCACAATATCACTCATGGGCTGGTCAACTTGATCATTCCCAGAAGCTAGTAAAGTTCTTCTCTGATTTGATTACTTTTCTATTTCTGATTGCCTTTCCAATGAAGTCCGATGGAAGAATGGATGATTGTAGGAAGAAATGTGATACTAAGGAATCCATAAAGAATTCACAAAATCATCCTAATTTATATAAATTACAGGTTATTTTTCATCCAGATATGTATTCAAAAAATAAATAGCTAAGTTTAGGGTTAGATCTACTGACTCATTTCTCATATGATCTACCCTACAGTGTACTCAAACAATTGTTAACCAGTTGCTGCCAGACAAGATACGCCCACATTTTGCAAGAGATGGATGATAGAGAACAAGCTAAAAAAAAAAATAATAATAAAGCGATTTTTCGAACAATCAGGGGCCATAATCCAGGAAGTTATGGTCTGAAATACGCAAATAGCACAAGGGACTGAGATATTTGGGATATCAAAATCGGATCAAAAATTAGGCCCCTAGAGGGTCCAAAACCTTGATATAACATAATTTTACACTATTTGCAGACAAGGGGCGGCCATTTTGTTAGGCAGTTTTGGTCCAATTTCATGAAATTTTTACTCATTACTCATAATACTGATAAAAATAGGGAACCCTGGAGGGACCACAAGCCAAAAAGCTTATTTTTCATACCATCAAGGGCCATAATTTAGGAAGTTATGATCCGATATGCGCAAATATTGAAAAGAACCAAGATCTTTGGGTTATAAACCTGTATTTCAAGTTTCATCAAAATTGCGAGCAAAAGAGTGTCCACAAGCTAAAAACATGATTTTTCACACAATCAGGGGCCATAATCCATGATGTTATGGTCCGATACATGTCAATGTCGAAAGGAGCCGAGATCTTTGGGAGATAGACATATATTTCAAGTTTTCATCAGAAATAAAAATTGCCACATGAGTGTCCACAAGCTAAAAATGTGATTTTTCGTACATTCATGGGCCATAATCCAGGAAGTTATGATCCGATACATGCCAATATTGAAGGGATGGAAGATCTTTGGGATATAAACCCTATATTGCAAGTTTCATCAAAATTGTGACCTGTAGAGTGTCAACAGACGGACAGAAAGTGGCGACGGCATTATATGTCCACATGAAAACGTGGGCGTATAAAAATAAAGTATGGGGTAAATTTCCTATAAATCGGCAGTATCATCAAGGATACCACTAAACATGATGTAATTAATGCCATAATGGAGATTACTGTATTTAATGGTGTATACGACAAATGAACATATAAAATTTGTAGTGAGTTTGTCAAGGATGTAATCGAGTGTCTTGCATAACAAAATAATGATAGTGGTTTGCTTTTTCTCTTTTAACCAGAATCCAATGTGTACTACCATCATCTATACAATGAATGTGGATTATGTTGTTTCTGTTGTATATAAAATAAATAACTATTGTACTATTCAAATCAATGGATAAAAAAATCAAGTTATGATTGAAAAATCAAGTAAAAGTATTTTCATGGAATCAGACTTCCTCATAACTACTTTCGTTTTTTTTTATTGTCCTCCATCTTTCACATATGTAGAATAAATACAAATATATTAGCACTATATCCCAGTAGAAGTTAGATCATCTTCTGTAACACCTTGAATAGCAAGTTCTAATAAAACATTGTCTAAATAATTTGGATCTGGATAACCATGTCCACTTTCGTTGGAACCAAATTCGGTTTTATGATGTATTTCGTTCCAGGTTACTGTATCCGTTTCCCCTGTTGTTGACGATGAACCTATTGTAAACATCACACGTCTCTGCCATGCTATTGTAAATAACTGTAAAACCTGAAGTAATTTTAAAATGCCATTAAGATCATTAATTAGAATTTTATATCAACAAAGTTAGGGAGGAATATTGAAATGGGCTCTGTCCGCCTGTCCTTACATCACAATTTCATTTCCAAAGCATATCTCATAAACTGTTTTAGATATCTTTAATAAACTTTGTACACACTTCAACCTGTGATAGTAGTAGTGCCTCTTGTTAAAGTGTAATTTCTCGGATGTAATGATTTTGTGTTTGTATGGAAACAATTTGATAAGTTTTTGATATACTTTGCATATTTCATAAACCATTCAAGTTCAAACTATCTTTATGAAACTTTGTACAAACATCAACCTATTAGAGTAGTTGGGCTTTTTGCCAGTTAAAATTTTCTTGTATTTCATTTATCTGATAAATATGCCTGAAATGAGAGCCCTAGCTTATACTATAAAATTTATTCATACCTTTCGTCCTTTATCATTATCTGGAAGATAGCCAATTCTTGGAAAGCCCCTGGCTGAAAACTTTCTACCTGGATTTGGATGTTCATGTCCCTAAATAGAAAAGATATTCTAATGATGATCGAATTACTGACCTGTCTTGATTAGCTCGGTTGGTGCAGAAAAGTAGGACTTAAACCCTATTTCATTTCTAATGACTAATTTATCCTTGTTTTTATGATTAATTTTCAGCACATGCACGAAAGTTATAAGATTTGACAATATTGTGTTGGGCTGTGTTTAATAACACAAATTTGAATCCTCAGTTGATTTTCTTTCCAGTGAGCTTGAATTCCAATCTTCAATTCAAATATAATATATAGAATTCCGAACTTTAAGCTGAAAACTTACACTAATCTGATAACAATCAATCAAGCACAACTTTGTCTTAAAATGACAAGTAATGCGTTCATGAGGCAAAAAAAAAAAGATGTCATTCAAACAAACATTAATTTTGCATATTTCTCGTAAACCTCTTATTATAAATTAGTGTCTTTTCTTCGTAACGTTTATTCTAATCAATTGAAAGTTAAAAAATTATGATTTTAAGAATAGCAGCTCATTATTGTAACCAATGATACTTAATTAATTGACATCACCATATAAAGTAATAAAATATATTTACCTGCGTACCAGGTCGTATAAAATATTTAACACATATCGTACAACAACCCTCATAACCTGGTAATGATTCAGGTATCGTCCAAAAATGCATCTCTCCTGCTGGACATATACCATGTTTAAAACCATGTATTTTTTTACAATTTGGACACTGTAAACTACCATCCTATAAAAGTAAGTAATTATTATCAGAAAACCTCAATTCTGCCATATACACCATGTTTTTCCAAGGCCCAGTGTAGATGGAGTTCTGCTTTTAAACATTAAATAACATGTAATTACAAATTTTCAAACTCAGACCATTTTTTATTTACATGAAATTTATGCAGTATTATTCAAAACATCAGTTAAATAAAAAACATAAAATAATATTCAATAAAAACTAAGGTATACCGTCATATACTCCGTTACTAAACCAATTTATTTGTAAAAAGTATTAGTGGTCTGAAGCCTTCTTGAGTTCTTTGTGTTAAATGAGTTACTTCCCTTGATTAATAAAAGGCTTTGATCCTAGATGGAATTCTGGGTTGGAGTGAAATGTAAGGTGGCGGTTTTTAATTAGCTCTTCTGCTTGTCATAAACAATCCTGGCCATCCTGTGACTTTACGCCCCAATACCACAGTGTACGAATTTGTATTTAAGAAGTTTAAACCATTTAACCATTGCACTGAATTTTTTATCACACAATATTAAGAGTACTGCATTAAGAAAAAGTGCATAGATAAATACCTTTGGGCCGCTATCATACATAGCACGTAGACACTGTCTATGAAACGTATGAGCACATAGTGATAGAGATACAACCTCTCCTTCTGCATGATTACTTTTACCATAATCAGATTCAGAATTTAATTTCTCACAACATATACAACAGTCCTGAAATCAATCAGAAATGAAATGGGGTTTAATGTCTTACACTTCTGCCACAACTGGGATAACGAAGATGGGCATACAGCATACTATGATGGAAATTTTGCCTGGACAGCAGTGCTAAGGACTACAATTATGTCAACTTCCAACTGACAAGGGTTGTTTTATGTCATTGCCAGGCCCTCTGTCCTGCACCAATGCCAAGGGAAATACATTCTGGAAAATAATGGGGAACTATCGATCAAACCCCAGATCTCCTGGTTAGTGAGCCAGCGCCAACCCACTGAGCCACATCATTTAAAGAAATAAAGGAGTTGTTGGAAATATTATTTATAATATAAGATCAGTGGGGATTATATTCTGTATGCTGCAATATCTCTTAAATATATATTCACTGTTTCTTAAAGGCATAACATGCCAGACCATTCATATGTATTTTAAAAGTCAAAAATAATGTAAAGAATGTTATTAGTATTACCATAGTTGGTTAAGAGAAATTTAAACTTAACATGGTGTTGTGAAACCAATTTAAACTTAGAATTCATTGATTTGATTGTTTTTATTAACTTTATAATGTGTATCTCTGTGGGTATGGCATGATGTGGCTTTAAATTTGTCTTAGACAATTATCTTAAAGGAGCTAAATCGCTAACCTTTGGGACCTAGAAATTGACAAAAGTGGGTTGCAACGCATATAATACTGTAATATGAATGTATATAAACTGATTTACATTCAATAGTTTCCGTTTTTACTCCAATTTCAAATCAGTTATGTTCGGCGAAATAAGCCAGCAGTCTCAAGCGAGTGCAAATTTCTAGCGTCTGGTTATTTCAGTCTACATACGCCGTTTGATTTGGTGCAATGTGTTTAGCCTCGTCCCTGGAGTCTCTTGATACAACTGGGGCTGAAGCGCATTATGGTACACGATTCGTGTACCAATGGTAAAATGTTTATTTTGTCTTAAATATTGGATATCAAAAGCCCATCTTTTTCCGGTAAGATCACAACATGGATGTTGATTTAATTTGACAAATAAATCGTGTTTTCAATGTTGAAGATTTTGGATGATAATGAGTTAGAGACTTAGCTACTTTAACTATGTTTTATTTCTTTCAGAATATCTAAATCAAATTAAAAATAGCTGTGAGTCAAAAATTTAACAGTTTAGGAGTACAGTTTTTTGATTAACTTTAAATCATAGCTAGAATGCAGTGCATCTCTGTACAAATGGCTAGTTACTGGGGAAGTTTGAAGGGGCGGGGGGTACTATTGCATGGTTAAATAATCAACATCTATAAGACAATGAGTGAGGGGGATTCAAAAGTTGCTTGTTTAAACAGTGAATATTCCAATAGATAGAAATAAACAATATATGTACAACATTTTACCTCATCATCAGAAGGTTTTAATACTGCTTTAAAATACTGATGGGGCATGTCAGCTCCTGATTTCCCTAAAACATAATACACATTATTATTATTTCTTGTAACTATGCAGTTTGAAATAAAATCTTACCATCAATATATTCTGAACTTTGATGAGATTCCATAAAAAATTTGAACAAGATATTTAAGAATAAGGATTATATTTAGATAATAAATGCAGGCTTATAAAAAAAAAAGACAGTATAACTATACCTTTGGATTTTTTAAGTTTAGGTAAGACTATATGTCCTTTAGCTGAGAATGTTGACGTCTGAGGACTGGGAGTAGGGAGACTGTAAGCAGACGGTTGAAAGTTACCATGTAGTGACACAGATTGATGTGAGAAAGCCCCTGGTACAATAGGTGACGTCAATACATTGGTTATATCTACAAAATATAGTTTAGTTCTATTATATAAAGCAAAGTAAAAGAATGGGGATTACAATCTTGTCAACGACCTACAAAACAATATTTTAATAATTTTAATATGAGTTTACAATTTATTGAGGGGTGTTGAGGAATTTTGCTTCCTATTCATTGAAATTTTGAAATAAACTATTTTAATTTAATTAGCACTTGAAAATTACAGCTTTTAAAGTAATGGTGCGTCATTCGCATTTTTTGCTAAAATATCAACTTTATCCACTCTTAATTAACGCTAATATGTACTCAGATTGATTATTTAAAATTTAATTAAAGGGACATTATGGAAGATTTGATAAAGAGCTGGCAGTTCTCACTATAATGGTTAAAAACTAGATAATGTAAATGGCATATGTTGAAAATTTCAGTCAGATTGCTCCACTATGAACCGAGATATTAGCGAAAAGAATTTTAGACCTAGCCTTGATCATCATTACTAAAGTCGGTATGATAAAAACATAGTCTTGATTATCTATTTGTGTAATTTAGGATCTTTTCATGTTAATAAATGTCTAATTAATAGTTTATATAACATTTCTGACCTAAAGAAACACCTGCAATAGGCATAATAATGAGGCAATGAGAGAATAAAGTTAAACATTTGCATTACATAGGCCCAGTCACAGGGCCTCATCCCATAATTAGAATAGCTTAGAATAACAAAAGAGATAATAAGCTACTTAAACTTTATGTGGGAACCCAATTACCTAGTACCGATTCCCATTTTATTATTAAAATAGTCTATAGTAGAAATGGGAACAGCATGCTAGTAAAAGGGTTAAGTAAGTTAAATTCACAAATTCTGATTAAAACTAATGAGTATTTAACCATTCTGTTATTCATTCCCTCAATGTACTATAGTCAGAATCAGATAAATAATACAAAGACTGAGTCAGACAATATTAATACTTCTGATGCTGGATTGTATAGACAGACAAACAATTTGAAAAATGACTAGCTATTATTCACAACTATCATTGTTTAAATAGAATAAGTTGGAATATGAATTATCTTGGGAGGATAACCAGACAGTCTAATGTAGCAGTATTTCCAATGAACCGACATGCTTTACTTAAAACTTATCCAATTTCACGGTTGAATTTGACAGAACTATAGGCTATTACTACAGGAATTAAAATAAACAAGATTAATGTCTTGCAACATTCAAACACCAACATCATTTTGAACTAATACAAACATATGGTACATTAAATCTAAAAGACAGTTTCAATTTTCTTTGGCTAAACACGTAAGGCTCGGCAGGGTATAATGACTCTTCTGCCTTTTTACAGTCAATGTCGATGAAATGAAATGGGTGATGAAGACAGGTATATGCAATGGTGTTTGTTATGAGGGAAATTTTGTCGGGGCAGCAACATTTCCACCTAATCATTATTGATTTTCAAATGTCAACACAGGTGACCCTTAGTTTTTGGCCCCATCCAAACAACTATACATTTTTTCTATGTTTAAAAGGGTAATTATACGATCAATTAAAACTGTGAATAACAGACTTAAATATTTTTATTAAAGATACACTTCCCTGACAGTCTCACACCTAAATACATAATCAATGAGTAGTTTTTCAGAAACAAGTTTATTAGATAGAATAGTTGACTTATCAAGGGGCAACAATCCATAATAAAATTAAATACAGTGTATAGAATCTACACTAAGATGGTGAACAATCAACAGTTTTTGGTTCAAATATTCAAACCAATTAGTCCAAAAGTCATGACCTGTTTCTACTGTTTTCCCATTACCATCTTTATGCCCCTTCTTTGTACCTACTAGATCTAATCTTCCCAATTATTATCTTATTACTTTGGGCCTTTATTTTTGTTAAATTTAAATAATGAAGATTGTTATTTGTCCTCTGGCATCTTGTCCTCTTAATTTAATGTTACTTACTTGACACAACTGGTGATATTTTACTACCATGACTCTTTAAATTCATCATATTGTTGGATACACTGAAATATACAAATATATAATATGACATATCGTTGGATACACTTAAATACACTATATACATCATATTGTTGGATACATTGAAATAGATATAAATATATAGTTTTTGTTAAGAAGTGGTAACTATGTTGGATGCTGGTAGTTACCACTTCTTAACAAAAACTATGTTCTAGTATTTATTTCGCGCCAAATAAGTTGAAAGCCAAGCCGGCAAGCCCCCAGGAATGAAAAACATAAGAAATTTGTATTTTAGGATCACTCGCCAAGTACATACCAACCGGCTACACAAAGTTGAAATGAAACTTGACCTAGCTCTCAAACCATACATACATGTAAGTTACGTGACCTAATCTTGTGGTTATTTCAAATTGGCTCAATATCTTGGTTTAAAATTTTTAGGGTATATCATTACATTTTTATATGCCCACATGGAAATGTGGTTGTATATTGCCATTGCCTCTGTCTGTCCGATGGTTCAGTGTAGGCGTATAAGAATGGATAATCAAGGCTTTGTTTATTATCGTAACAACTGTAGCAATGACAATCACAATCAAGACTACACTATTCTTCAAACTTTGCTCAGAATGAAGTAATTTGACTGAAATTTTCAATATATTTTCATTTCTTTTTTCTTTAAACTATTATAGCGAGAACTGTCAGCTCTTTAATGAAATCTTACATAATGCATCTTTAACGTGACCTTACCTGGAGGTAGTGTATCGACTATTGTATAGAATAAATATCCTTCTTTTGAAGGAAATTACCTAACCTAAGACAATAATCATTAACTCATCTCCGATCTGATTAAAATTCTATGTAAATCTAGGAAATGGTTATATCTATTTTGATCTTACATATGAATCCAGCACAGACACTGCTAAGAATAGCAAAATGTGAGGTACATGTAGTCACTAACTACAGTGAACAGTGATATCCTTGACAGAATTATTTACATTTTTTTGTAGATTTTCATTGTTTTACACCAATCATGAATTAAGTATAACCCACATTTCCCTCTTTATGGCAGGGTTTGGCTTTTATCCACAATTTTTGATTGCAAATGTGTATTTGATTGAGCATGAATATGGCACTGAGTATCATTAGCATATCCATCTTGTATTTCCAAAAGGCTAAGTAGACCATATAGAGACTATAGATAAAGACATCATAGCATTTATTGATTTTAATTCTCTACAAGGAAGTCCAGAATGTAAATCATTTCTATTAATGGATAATACAACTAATTGGCAAAATAAATCCTCCAGCTTTTTCATTTACATTTATCACAGTAAAGGAGAAAGAAAGGGGTACTGTCTGCGATATCACCCTACATTAAGGAAGCAAGGAAGCAAGCAAGTGAATGGGGAGGGGATTTTACTAAAATGAAGGAGGGAGATTACAAACTGAAAGGGGGAAGGCCATTACAAAAGTAAAAGTATAAGGGAAGTTACAAAAGTAATGGGAAAGGGGCAAACATTACTTGTCCTCTATATCACTATCGGTGGAAGCGGACGTTAAAGACAACAAACAATAACAAGGGGAACATTAAAAGTACACCACAACAGTAAACAGATGGGAGGGGGCATTAAGTAAGTATTCAGGCAAGGGGAATTACAAAACTTAGGGACGGGGGGGGGGGGGGGGGGGGGGGGGGGAGGGGAGGGGGACAAAATTAATGGAGAGAGCATTACAAAACTAAAGAGGGAATTATAGGAATGGACCATTCGAAAAAAGTAATAGGTAGGGGGATTATTAAAGTACAAGGAGAAAGGGGGGGGGGGGGTACAATAGTAAAGGGAGGAGGAGAAGTATGATATTACAAAATTAAAGGGACGGAGAGAGGGCATTAAGCAAGTACACAGTCAAGGGGGATCACAAAAGGGAGTTAGAAAGGGACATTACTAAACGAAGAAGGGGGGGGATTTCAAACTTAAAGGAGAAGCCATTACAAAAGTGAAGTGGGGGGGCGTAAATGGAGAAGGCATGAAAAAAGATAGGTTGCCAGGCAACGAAACATACGCCCACAGCAGCTAAATCATCCGAGGAGTCAACAAGAGTTGTCGCATATTTTTACTTTCTTTCGGTAATGAAAAATTTATAATACACTAAAATCTGATTAAGAGTAACAACTCATTAAGTAATTATCAGAAAATCATTAGAATTTGTTTGGTTTTTAAAAAGTTCTGCCCCATGCTAACGTTTAGTATACGAAACATTTAGTATCATGGATTTAGCTGTTCAAGTTATCAAAATTCATTGAAAATCAATATACTTGTTTGTCTCAAGACCTTAAACTCTGTGTATCAATTTGAAGTCAATCGGATGATAACTTTAGCCCCTAGAGGGTCACAAGATTTTACAAAGAAATCAAGGGCCATAACTCTGGCAGTAAATATCCAAAATCACTGAAAATCAATAGGTTTCTTTGTCTCATGACCTTAAACACTGTGTATAAATTTAAAGTCAATCGAATATTCTCTAGAGCATCCACAAGATATTTTGAAGTGATCAAGGGCCATAACTCTGACAGTAATTATCCAAACTCGCTGAAAATCAATAGGCTTCTTCGTCTCATCACCTTAAACACTGTGTATAAATTTAAGTCAATCAGATATTAACTTTAGCCTCTAGAGCGTAGACAAGCAAATGTGGACGCCGGACACACTAACAAATGGTCATCACTAGATCACAGGTTTGGCAAATGAACTACGTGTATTTGGAACTTTCAGAAATCAAACCTGTTGGGTAGAATATAACTTTGGAGAAATGGCATGTCTCCAACTTCCAAGCCACTGGGAGCTGCGGTGGCTCAGTGAGAAAGACACTGGCTTGCCAACCAAGAGATCATCGGTTTGATAGTTCCTCAGGATTATCCGGCATGTTTTCTCTTTTTCAGTGATGCAGGACTTGGCAAGGAACAGTGTCTAGTCATTTTATTGATACAAAAAACTAAGGTCATGTGTAAAGGTTGGCATGCACTTAACTCTTGACAGTTGGAATTCAAAATAAGAGTAGGCTATAGTGTCGCTGTTTTGTTTGGAAAAAGAATTCCTCATAGCACACCACCTGGCATTTGCTCATATTCATTATCCCTGTTGGTGCAGAAAATTAGGACGTTTTAAATCTTATTTCATTTCCAAGTCACTGGCACTACTAAAAGTTATATATGTAGTGATATTTTGGATTCTGATTTTATCAGTAGTATGAAAACTTCTTTGGTAGGATTAGGCTCACGGATCAATAAATAATCTATTCACATTCCAGAAAAGGTCAAATACTTCAGACTTAATATAGAATCTTTTTTTTTTTTCATATCTAACCAAAACCGGCGCATCAAATTTCAAAGACTACATAAAAAAAAATTATTTAATTTGGTGCCACAATGTCCCTTCTGAAAATTCTGGATACGACACTGAACAGAAATCAAATATTTACACGTAATGGGGTTTAATATTTTACTTTTCTATGATGGAAATTTTGCCCTGACAGTGGCGCTACAACCTACTCTTTTTTAGACTGCATGCTGTCAGAGGATCCTTAATGTGATGTCAATGGTAAAAATAAAACCTCAGTTTTCTGTATCTCCTCCCTGCTGTCCTAGACAACTGACACATAGAAACAGAATTGTACATAATATAACATGATATGCTTCCAAATAATATCATTTCATTAATTTTTTATGGCTACGGGAATACAGTGTTAAAACTAATTGATTATTGAAGTAGGCCAGATAAATAATTCAAACCATGAAGTAAGCATTCACCTAATGTTAATTACAATTCTTACTATTGATTGATTGACTGAAACAACACCCAAATCTCATCTGGGAATTATGAAAGCATGTTTCTCACATTTATTGTAACAACAGTCGTAGACGCTAAATACATGTATCCTCAATTTGTAATTATGGCTTATAACACATGTTCTGTTGTATATTTCACTCAAAAGTTTTAAATGACATTTTGGTTGGGATTCAATCAAAATGTGTTCAAACGAGATTTCAACTTTCATTTCAACAAATTTAAACAATGAAAACATCAGAGAAAAAAAAATCAAGGCATGCACAATGCAAAATCTCCAGATAACAACCTTTGCTTGAAACAGTGTGCTTTCTATTAATGAAATTATGTCAAAGTGAATCAATAGCTATCAGCAAGGTCAACATTTGAAGATCAAACAAATTTCAGTGCTCTCAGTCTATAAATTATATTCAATTTCAATGTTCTATTCGTAATTCACAATTCTTTCCAAGATTCAAACATATATGTTTCGTTGACTATTTGCAAGACTGGTTTTCCAACAAACATCTTTCTTGGGGTTGACTTACTGAATATGAAAGAAAATCTGTAACATGTAATCTGAGAACTCGCAAAATTTTGTTTTACTAACTTCCTTGTACTAGCGTACATTGTGATTGACTAAGTGTATGTATCTAATTCTAATACAACCTAGATGTTATCTTCATTCCATTTAAAAAATGTTGGTCACTTCATTAACACTTAAAGATATGTCAGAAGAAAATTTACTTTGACCTGTGAAGGCTGTGATGTCAGCATAATAGTAGATTTGGTCAATTTAATTAGATGGCCAATCAACAGAAGTGCTTTTGGTCTCTCAGAAAAAAAGAAATGTTAATTTCATACCTACTGGGTACATGTACATACCCCAAATGAGAAGCGATGGACACTGACTGTCAGCAAAGTGGTATGAAGGATTGTAAGATCTTGAATGCCCTACTGAGACCCTATTTAATGCTATAGTTTGAGCAATTTGGACCAAAGTGTTTACATGTAGCAAATTATTAAACATGCATTATACAAGAGCTAAATCTTCCTATAACGCAGGTCTTTATTAGGGCCTGAAATGTTATGTAAACTATTAATTAGACCATAATCAACTCTCAATGTCATCGGATATCTCTGATATAAAGTAGATTACAAGGTTCAGTCATATTTTGATTTAATCTAAAAATGGTGAAGCGAGGCTAAGCTTCAAACAACCA